GAATTGAACCCTGTGGCACCCCCATAGAGACTGCCATAGGTCCAGACAACAGGCCCTCCGATTTGACACATTGAACTCTATCTGAGAAGTAGTTGGTGAACCAGGCGAGGCAGTCATTTGAGAAACCAAGGCTATTTAGTCTGCCAATAAGAATGCGGTGGTTGACAGAGTCGAAAGCCTTGGCCAGGTCAATGAAAACGGCTGCACAGTACTGTCTATTATCGATCGCGGTTATAATATCGTTTAGGACCTTGAGCGTGGCTGAAGTGCACCCATGACCAGCTCGGAAACCGGATTGCATAGCGGAGAAGGTACGGTGGGATTCGAAATGGTCGGTGATCTGTTTGTTGACTTGGCTTTCAAAAACTTTTGAAAGGCAGGGCAGGATGGATATGGGTCTGTAACAGTTTGGATCTAGAGTGTCACCCCCTTTGAAGAGGGGGATGACCGCGGCAGCTTTCCAATCTCTGGGGATCTCAGACGTTACGAAACAGAGGTTGAACAGGCTAGTAATAGGGGTTGAGACAATTTCGGCGGCTAGTTTTAGAAAGAAAGGGTCCAGATTGTCTAGCCCAGATGATTTGTAGGGGTCCAGATTTTGCAGCTCTTTTAGAACATCAGCTGTCTGGATTTGTGTGAAGGAGAAGCGGGGGGGGGCATGGGCAAGTTGCAGCGGAGGGTGCAGAGCTGGTGGCCGGGGTAGTGGTAGCCAGGTGGAAAGCATGGCCAGCCGTAGCAAAATGCTTGTTGAAATTCTCGATTATTGTAGATTTATCGGTGGTGATAGTGTTTCCTAGCCTCAGTGCAGTGGGCAGCTGGGAGGAAGTGCTCTTATTTTCCATGGACTTTACAGTGTCCCAAAACTTTTTGGAGTTAGTGCTACAGGATGCAAATTTCTGTTTGAAAAAGTTAGCCTTTGCTTTCCTAACTGCTTGTGTATATTGGTTCCTAACTTCCCTGAAAAGTTGCATATCGCGGGGGCTATTTGATGCTAATGCAGTACGCCACAGGATGTTTTTGTGCTGGTCAAGGGCAGTCAAGTCTGAGGAGAACCAGGGGCTATATCTGTTCTTAGTTCTGTATTTTTTTGAATGGGGCATGTCTATTTAAGATTGAGAGGAAATTACTTTTAAAGAACAACCAGGCATCCTCTACTGACGGAATGAGATCTATATCCATCCAGGATACCTGGGCCAGGTCAATTAGGAAGGCCTGCTCGCTGAAGTGTTTTTGGGAGCGTTTGACAGTGATGAGGGGTGGTCGTTTGACCGCGGACCCGTTACGGACGCAGGCAATAAGGCAGTGATCGCTGAGATCCTGGTTGAAGACAGCGGAGGTGTATTTAGAGGGTAAGTTAGTCAGGATGATATCTATGAGGGTACCCATGTTTACGGATTTAGGGTTGTACCTGGTAGGTTCGTTGATAATTTGTGTGAGATTGAGGGCATCTAGTTTAGATTGTAGGATGGCCGGGGTGTTAAGCATATCCCAATTTAGGTCACCAAGCAGTACGAACTCTGAGGATAGATGGGGGGCAATCAATTCACATATGGTGTCCAGGGCACAGCTGGGGGCTGAGGGGGGTCTGTAGCAAGCGGCAACAGTGAGAGATTTATTTCTGGAAAGGTGGATTTTTAGAAGTAGAAGCTCAAACTGTTTGGGCACAGACCTGGATAGTATGATGGAGCTCTGCAGGCTATCTCTACAGTAGATTGCAACTCCACCCCCTTTGGCAGTTCTATATAGACGGAAAATGTTATAGTTGGGGATGGAAATTTCAGAATTTTTGGTGGCCTTCCTAAGCCAGGATTCAGACACTGCTAGAACATCAGGGTTGGCGGAGTGTGCTAACGCAGTGAATAACTCAAACTTAGGAAGGAGGCTTCTGATATTTATGTGCAGAAAACCAAGACTTTTACGGTTACAGAAGTCAACAAATGATAGCTCCTGGGGAGTAGGAGTGATACTGGGGGCTACAGGGCCTGGGTTAGCCTCTACATCACCAGAGGAACAGAGGAGGACTAGAATAAGGATACGACTAAAGGCTTTAAGAACTGGTCTTCTAGTGCGTTGGGTACATAGAATAAAGGGGGCAGTTCTCCGGGCGTTGTAGAAAAGATTCAGGGCATTATGTACAGAAAAGGATATGAGTACAGTTCAGGTAACCCTAAGCGTTGGGTAACAATGAAAGAGATAGCGTCATTGGAGGCATCGATTGAGCCGGTCTCGGCGTGTATGGGGGGTGGAACAAAGGAACTATATGAGGCAGTTTGAGAGGGAATAGGGGTTCTACAGTGAAATTGTATAATAAGAACTAACCCAAACAGCAATAGGCAAGGCATAATTGACATGGGAGAGAGGCATAAAGCAGTCACAGGTGTTATTAGAGAGAGCTAAGACACAACTGGAAATAGCGATAACGTTTGGGCTAAGACTAAACAGAATAAACAGGACAGGGTACCGTGTAAAGGAACAGTCCAGCAGGCATCAGCTGTGCAGCTGAGTGATCATAAGGTCCAGTGAACAGCAATATGTGAGTCCGAGAGCAGTTCAAATTGGTGCTTCAGCACAGCTAGCAGGGAGCACAGTTGTAGTTTGCGTGTGCTAGCGGGCCGGGGCTGGCAGATGGATCTTCGTGGTCGTCGCAACGGGAAGCCTGTTGAAACCACATCAGACTATTTCGTCGGCAAACCAGTCGTGTTGGATCGGCGGGGCTCAGTGTCAACACTAGGAGGTCCCGTCCGGTTGACAGAGAGGTAGATAGCCGGGAGATGGGCCTGAGGCTAGCTCAAGGCTAACTGGTGCTTGCTATAAGGCAATGGTAATCAGCCAACAACAGGTTGCAGCTAGCTAGCTGGTTGTGATGATCCGGCGCTAGGGTCCAGTGATTCCGGCAGAAAGTCCAATAAGCTCTGGGTCGATAGCACGCTGGGTCGATAGCACGCTGTGCAGACTGGCCGACGAATTGTCCAGGGTAGAGCTAGAGCTGGCTGGTGGATAGTGTAGGCCACGGACAGTGGTGAAGACGCTAACGTTGACTAATAGCAGGTAGCCATTCAGATTGCGGCTACACTCGTTTCAGCTTACGGTTCTTGATGAAAGTTATAAAGAAATAATAGAATCCTTTCCACGTTGGGTGAGGCGGGTTGCAGGAAAGTATATTTAGTTAAAGAATGAAAGTAAAAAATTGAGAAATATATACAAAATAGACAAAAAAAACAAGAAACTGGATATTTACACAGGACGATGAAATAAAAGCGACCGCACTGCTACGCCATCTTGGAGTTGCAATGATCATGAGAACGGTGAGGAATCAGCCCAGAACTACACGGGAGGATCTTGTCAATGACCTGAAGGCAGCTGGGACCATAGTCACCAAGAAAACAATTGGTAACACACTACGCCGTGAAGGACTGAAATCCTGCAGCGTCCGCAAAGTCCCCCTGCTCAAGAAAGCACATATACAGGCCCGTCTGAAGTTTGCCAATGGACATCTGAATGATTCAGAGGAGAACTGGGTGAAAGTGATGTGGTCAGATGAGACCAAAATCGAGCTCTTTGGCATCAACTCAACTCGCCGTGTTTGGAGGAGGAGGAATGCTGCCTATGACCCCAAGAACACTATCCCCACCGTCAAAAATGGAGGTGGAAACATTATGCTTTGGGGGTGTTTTTCTGCTAAGGGGACAGGACAACTTCACCGCATCAAAGGGACGATGGACGGGGCCATGTACCGTCTAATCCTGGGTGAGAACCTCCTTCCCTCAGCCAGGGCATTGAAAATGGGTCGTGGATGGGTATTCCAGCATGACAATGACCCAAAACACACGGCCAAGGCAACAAAGGAGTGGCTCAAGAAGAAGCACATTAAGGTCCTGGAGTGGCCTAGCCAGTCTCCAGACCTTAATCCCATAGAAAATCTGTGGAGGGAGCTGAAGGTTCGAGTTACCAAACGTCAGCCTCGAAACCTTAATGACTTGGAGAAGATCTGCAAAGAGTAGTGGGACAAAATCCCTCCTGAGATGTGTGCAACCTGGTGGCCAACTAGTACAAGTTTTGCCACCAAGTACTAAGTCATGTTTTGCAGAGGGGTCAAATACTTATTTCCCTCAATAAAATGGCTGGTTGGCCCTGTCCGGGGGTATCGTCCGACAGGGCCACAGTGTCTACCGACCCCCCCCTGTCTCAGCCTCCAGTATCTATGCTGCTAAAGTCTATGTGCCGGGGGGCTAGGGTCAGTCTGTTATATCTGGTGTTATTCTCCTGTCTTATCCGGTGTCCTGTGTGAATGTAAGTATGCTCCCTCAAATTCTCTCTCTCTCTCCCTCCCATCCCGGAGGACACTAGGACCATGCCTCAGGTCTACCTGGCCTGATGACTCCTTGCTGTCCCCAGTCCACCTGGTCGTTCTGCTGCTCCAGTTTCCACTCTTCCTCCTGCGGCTATGGAACCCTGACCTGTTCACCGGACGTGCTACCTTGTCCCAGACCTGCTGTTTTCAACTCTCTCTCTCTACCGCACCTGCTATTTCAACCTCTAAATGCACGGCTATGAAAAGCCAAGTGACATTTACTCCTGATGTACTGACCTGTTACAACCTCTATAACCACTGTGATTATTTGACCCTGCTGGTCATCTATGAACGTTTGAACATCTTGGAGACAAATCTGGCCTTAATGGCCACGTACTGTTATAATCTCCACCCGGCACAGCCAGAAGAGGACTGGCCACCACTCAGAGCCTGGTTCCTCTCTAGGTTTCTTCCTAGGTTTCTGCCTTTCTAGGGAGTTTTTCCTAGCCACCGAGCTTCTACATCTGCATTGCTTGCTGTTTGGGGTTTTAGGCTGGGTTTCTGTATAGCACTTTGTGACATCTGCTGATGTAAAAAGGGCTTTATAAATGACATTTGATTGATTGATCTCTCCCTTATCTCTCCCTACCTTATAGTACCAACCAGTCTCCTCATGGGCACTAATTCATCATTCTCTCCTTTCCCCAGGCTGCAGGCTCGTATAGCCCACCGGATCCAGGAGCTGGAGAGTCTTCCTGGAGCTCTGCCTCCGGACCTGAGGAGTAAAGCCACGGTGGAGCTCAAGGCTTTGAGACTTCTGAACTTCCAACGACAGGTATGACAGCATCTCAGCATAAACTGCTTCAGACATGAACACTTCTAACACCATGTTACCCTAACACCATCTAGACCCAGACTAACAGCACTAACATCTAGACCCAGACTAACACCATGTTACACTAACATCTAGACCCAGACTAACACCATGTTACACTAACATCTAGACCCAGACTAACAGCATGTTACACTAACATCTAGACCCAGACTAACAGCACTAACATCTAGACCCAGACTAACACCATGTTACACTAACACCATCTAGACCCAGACTAACACCATGTTACACTAACATCTAGACCCAGACTAACAGCACTAACATCTAGACCCAGACTAACACCATGTTACACTAACATCTAGACCCAGACTAACAGCACTAACATCTAGACCCAGACTAACACCAGCCCATCTAGACCCAGACTAACACCATGTTACACTAACATCTAGACCCAGACTAACACATGTTACACTAACATCTAGACCCAGACTAACAGCACTAACATATAGACCCAGACTAACAGCAGCCCATCTAGACCCAGACTAACACCATGTTACACTAACATCTAGACCCAGACTAACACCATGTTACACTAACATCTAGACCCAGACTAACAGCAGCCCATCTAGACCCAGACTAACAGCACTAACATCTAGACCCAGACTAACAGCACTAACATCTAGACCCAGACTAACAGCACTAACATCTAGACCCAGACTAACACCAGCCCATCTAGACCCAGACTAACAGCAGCCCATCTAGACCCAGACTAACAGCAGCCCATCTAGACCCAGACTAACACCAGCCCATCTAGACCCAGACTAACAGCACTAACATCTAGACCCAGACTAACACCAGCCCATCTAGACCCAGACTAACACCAGCCCATCTAGACCCATACTAACACCAGCCCATCTAGACCCAGACTAACACCAGCCCATCTAGACCCAGACTAACACCAGCCCATCTAGACCCAGACTAACAGCAGCCCATCTAGACCCAGACTAACAGCAGCCCATCTAGACCCAGACTAACACCAGCCCATCTAGACCCAGACTAACACCATGTTACACTAACATCTAGACCCAGACTAACAGCAGCCCATCTAGACCCAGACTAACACCAGCCCATCTAGACCCAGACTAACACCAGCCCATCTAGACCCAGACTAACAGCAGCCCATCTAGACCCAGACTAACACCAGCCCATCTAGACCCAGACTAACAGCACTAACATCTAGACCCAGACTAACAGCAGCCCATCTAGACCCAGACTAACAGCAGGCCATCTAGACCCAGACTAACACATTTTTACATTTACATTTTAGTCATTTAGCAGACGCTCTTAACCAGAGCGACTTACAGGAGCAATTAGGGTTAAGTGCCTTGCTCAAGGGCACATTAACGTCATTTAGCAGACGCTCTTAGCCAGAGCGACTCACAAATTGGTGCGTTCACCCTATAGCCAGTGGGATAACCACTTTACAATTTGACAGCCCATCTAGACCCAGACTAACAGCACTAACATCTAGACCCAGACTAACACCAGCCCATCTAGACCCAGACTAACAGCAGGCCATCTAGACCCAGACTAACAGCAGGCCATCTAGACCCAGACTAACACCAGCCGATCTAGACCCAGACTAACACCAGCCGATCTAGACCCAGACTAACACCAGCCGATCTAGACCCAGACTAACAGCAGGCCATCTAGACCCAGACTAACAGCAGGCCATCTAGACCCAGACTAACAGCAGGCCATCTAGACCCAGACTAACAGCACTAACATCTAGACCCAGACTAACAGCAGCCCATCTAGACCCAGACTAACACCAGCCCATCTAGACCCAGACTAACAGCACTAACATCTAGACCCAGACTAACAGCAGCCCATCTAGACCCAGACTAACAGCACTAACATCTAGACCCAGACTAACAGCACTAACATCTAGACCCAGACTAACAGCACTAACATCTAGACCCAGACTAACACCAGCCGATCTAGACCCAGACTAACACCAGCCGATCTAGACCCAGACTAACACCAGCCCATCTAGACCCAGACTAACAGCAGCCCATCTAGACCCAGACTAACAGCACTATCATCTAGACCCAGACTAACAGCACTAACATCTAGACCCAGACTAACACCAGCCCATCTAGACCCAGACTAACACCAGCCAATCTAGACCCAAACTAACACCAGCCGATCTAGACCCAGACTAACACCAGCCGATCTAGACCCAGACTAACACCAGCCCATCTAGACCCAGACTAACAGCAGCCCATCTAGACCCAGACTAACAGTAGCCCATCTAGACCCAGACTAACAGTAACACTAACATCTAGACCCAGACTAACACCAGCCCATCTAGACCCAGACTAACCACCAGCCCATCTAGACCCAGACTAACACAGCCCATCTAGACCAGACTAACAGCAGCCCATCTAGACCCAGACTAACAGCAGCCCATCTAGACCCAGACTAACAGCAGCCCATCTAGACCCAGACTAACAGCACTAACATCTAGACCCAGACTAACAGCACTAACATCTAGACCCAGACTAACCACCAGCCCATCTAGACCCAGACTAACACCAGCCCATCTAGACCCAGACTAACACCAGCCGATCTAGACCCAGACTAACAGCAGCCCATCTAGACCCAGACTAACAGCAGCCCATCTAGACCCAGACTAACACCAGCCCATCTAGACCCAAACTAACACCAGCCGATCTAGACCCAGACTAACACCAGCCGATCTAGACCCAGACTAACAGCACTAACATCTAGACCCAGACTAACAGCAGCCCATCTAGACCCAGACTAACACCAGCCCATCTAGACCCAGACTAACAGCACTAATATCTAGACCCAGACTAACACCAGCCCATCTAGACCCAGACTAACACCAGCCCATCTAGACCCAGACTAACAGCAGCCCATCTAGACCCAGACTAACACCAGCCCATCTAGACCCAGACTAACAGCACTACATCTAGACCCAGACAAAACAGCAGCCCATCTAGACCCAGACTAACACCCAGCCGATCTAGACCCCAGACTAACAGCACTAACATCTAGACCCAGACTAACACCAGCCCATCTAGACCCAGACTAACAGCAGCCCATCTAGACCCAGACTAACAGCACTAACATCTAGACCCAGACTAACAGCAGCCCATCTAGACCCAGACTAACAGCAGCCCATCTAGACCCAGACTAACAGCACTAACATCTAGACCCAGACTAACACCAGCCCATCTAGACCCAGACTAACACCAGCCCATCTAGACCCAGACTAACAGCACTAACATCTAGACCCAGACTAACAGCACTAACATATAGACCCAGACTAACAGCAGCCGATCTATACAGTGGGGAGAACAAGTATTTGATACACTGCCGATTTTGCAGGTTTTCCTACTTACAAAGCATGTAGAGGTCTGTAATTTTTATCATAGGTACACTTCAACTGTGAGAGACGGAATCTAAAACAAAAATCCAGAAAATCACATTGTAGGATTTTTAAGTAATTAATTTGCATTTTATTGCATGACATAAGTATTTGATACATCAGAAAAGCAGAACTTAATATTTGGTACAGAAACCTTTGTTTGCAATTACAGAGATCATACATTTCCTGTAGGTCTTGACCAGGTTTGCACACACTGCAGCAGAGTCTCCAGATCCTTCAGGTTTCGGGGCTGTCGCTGGGCAATACGGACTTTCAGCTCCCTCCAAAGATTTTCTATTCGGTTCAGGTCTGGAGACTGGCTAGTCCACTCCAGGACCTTGAAATGCTTCTTACGGAGCCACTCCTTAGTTGCCCTGGCTGTGTGTTTCGGGTCATTGTCATGCTGGAAGACCCAGCCACGACCCATCTTCAATGCTCTTACTGAGGGAAGGAGGTTGTTGGCCAAGATCTCGCGATACATGGCCCCATCCATCCTCCCCTCAATACGGTGCAGTCATCCTGTCCCCTTTGCAGAAAAGCATCCCCAAAGAATGATGTTTCCACCTCCATGCTTCACGGTTGGGATGGTGTTCTTGGGGTTGTACTCATCCTTCTTCTTCCTCCAAACACAGCGAGTGGAGTTTAGACCAAAAAGCTATATTTTTGTCTCATCAGACCACATGACCTTCTCCCATTCCTCCTCTGGATCATCCAGATGGTCATTTGCAAACTTCAGACGGGCCTGGACATGCGCTGGCTTGAGCAGGGGGACCTTGCGTGCGCTGCAGGATTTTAATCCATGACGGCGTAGTGTGTTACTAATGGTTTTCTTTGAGACTGTGGTCCCAGCTCTCTTCAGGTCATTGACCAGGTCCTGCCGTGTAGTTCTGGGCTGATCCTTCACCTTCCTCATGATCATTGATGCCCCACGAGGTGAGATCTTGCATGGAGCCCCAGACCGAGGGTGATTGACCGTCATCTTGAACTTCTTCCATTTTCTAATAATTGCGCCAACATTGTTGCCTTCTCACCAAGCTGCTTGCCTATTGTCCTGTAGCCCATCCCAGCCTTGTGCAGGTCTACAATTTAATCCCTGATGTCCTTACACAGCTCTCTGGTCTTGGCCATTGTGGAGAGGTTGGAGTCTGTTTGATTGAGTGTGTGGACAGGTGTCTTTTATACAGGTAACGAGTTCAAACAGGTGCAGTTAATACAGGTAATGAGTGGAGAACAGGAGGGCTTCTTAAAGAAAAACTAACAGGTCTGTGAGAGCTGGAATTCTTACTGGTTGGTAGGTGATCAAATACTTATGTCATGCAATAAAATGCAAATTAATTACTTAAAAATCATACAATGTGATTTTCTGGATTTTTGTTTTAGATTCCGTCCTTCACAGTTAAAGTGTACCTATGATAAAAATGACAGACCTCTACATGCTTTGTAAGTAGGAAAACCTGCAAAATCGGCAGTGTAACAAATACTTGTTCTCCCCACTGTAGCTGCGTCAGGACGTGGTCCAGTGTAACCTCTCCTCCTCTCCTCCTATAGCTGCGTCAGGACGTGGTCCAGTGTAACCTCTCCTCCTCTCCTCCTATAGCTGCGTCAGGACGTGGTCCAGTGTAACCTCTCCTCCTCTCCTCCTCCTATAGCTGCGTCAGGACGTGGTCCAGTGTAACCTCTCCTCCTCTCCTCCTATAGTTGCGTCAGGACGTGGTCCAGTGTATGCGTAGAGACACCACCCTGGAGACAGCCCTGAACTCCAAGGCTTACAAGAGGAGCAAGCGCCAGACGCTGAGGGAGGCTCGCATGACAGAGAAACTGGAGAAACAGCAGAAGATCGAACAGGAGAGGAAACGCAGACAGAAACACCAGGTGAGTGGACTCTCTGGACAATTACCTGTTCGATCTTCTGCTAGACAATTACCTGTGAGAGGTTTTGACGTGTTCAGACCCTTTACTCAGTACTTTGTTGAAGCACCTTTGGCAGCGATTACAGCCTTGAGTCTTCTTGGGTATGACGCTACAAGCTTGGCACACCTGTATTTGGGGAGTTTCTCCCATTCTTCTCTGCAGATCCTCTCAAGCTCTGTCAGGTTGGATGGGGAGAGTCGCTGCACAGCTATTTTCAGGTCTCTCCAGAGATGTTTGATCGGGTTCAAGTCCGGGCTCTGGCTGGGCCACTCAAGGACATTCAGAGACTTGTCCCGAAGCCACTCCTGCGTTGTCTTGGCTGTGTGCTTAGGTTCGTTGTCCTGTTGGAAGGTGAACCTGCACCCCAGTCTGAGGTCCTGAGAGCTCTGGAGCAGGTTTTCATCAAGGATCTCTCTGTACTTTGCTCCGTTCATCTTTCCCTCGATCCTGACTAGTCTCCCAGTCCCTGCCGCTGAAAAACATCCCCACAGCATGATGCTGCCACCACCATGCTTCACCGTAGGGATGGTGCCAGGTTTCCTCCAGACGTGACGCTTGGCATTCATGCCAAAGAGTTCAATCTTGGTTTCATCAGACCAGAGAATCTTGTTTCTCATAGTCTGGGAGTCCTTTAAGTGCCTTTTGGCAAACTCCAAGCGGGCTGTCATGGGCCTTTTACTGAAGAGTGGCTTCCGTCTGGCCACTTTACCATAAAGGCCTGATTGGTGGAGTGCTGCAGAGATGGTTGTCCTTCTGGAAGGTTCTCCCATCTCCACAGAGGAACTCTGGAGCTCTGTCAGAGTGACCATCGGGTTCTTGGTCACCTCCCTGACCAAGGCCCTTCTCCCCCGATTGCTCAGTTTGGCCTGGCGGCCAGCTCTAGGAAGGTTCTTGGTGGTTCCAAACTTCTTCCATTTAAGAATGATGGAGGCCACTGTGTTCTTGGGGACCTTCAATGCTGCAGAAATGTTTTGGTACCCTTCCCCAGATCTGTGCCTCGACACAATCCTGTCTCTGAGCTCTACGGACAATTCCTTCGATTACACATGGCTTGGTTTTTGCTCTGACATGCACTGTCAACTGTGGGACCTTATATAGACAGGTGTGTACCTTTCCAAATCATGTCCAATCAATTGAATTTACCACAGGTGGACTCCAATTAAGTTGTAGAAACATCTCAAGGATGATCAATGGAAACAGGATGCACCTGAGCTCAATTTCGAGTCTCATAGCAAAGGTTCTGAATACATTTACATTTGACATTTTAGTCATTTAGCAGACGCTCTTATCCAGAGCGACTTACAGTTAGTGAGCGCATACATTTTCATACTGGCCCCCCGTGGGAAACGAACCCACAACCCTGCCGTTGCAAGCGCCATGCTCTACCAACTGAGCTACAGGGGACTTATGTAAATAAGGTATTTCTGTTTTTAATTTTTATAAATTTGCAAAAATGTCTGAACCTGTTTTCACTTTGTCATTATGGGGTATTGTGTGTAGATAAAAAAATATATATATATTTTTTACAATAAGGCTGTAACGTAAGGAAATGTGTAAAAAGGGAAGGGTCTGAATGCACTGTATATTACCATATAGGCTGTAGGCCACAGGGTGGTTCATCCTCAGGTGCTTCCCAAGATTTGTGCTGCTGGAATTCTGCAAACAGTCTGGTGCAAGTCATCTGGTTCTCCATCTTCATTATGTTTGGAACCGAAATGTGCCCAAATCGGCGATGCTATATTTTGTTGTTGCTACGAGAGACGTCTTTTTCACCTCACTCCACCGATCTATTGAACAGTGAAGGGCAGAGGCTACCCATCTACCTAACCCTACCCCTCACCCTAACCCTAACCCTAACCCTACCCCTCACCCTAACCCTAACCCTAACCCTAACCCTAACCCTAACCCCGACCCCGCACCCGAACCCAACCCACCCAACCCTAACCCTACCCCTACCCCCACCCAACCCTAACCCAACCCATCACCGAACCCTAACCCTAACCCGACCCCTCACCCAAACCGAACCCAAACACCACCTCACCCACCCTACACCGAACCCTAACCCTAACCCGAACCCGAACCCTACCCTCACCCTAACCCTAACCCTCACCCTAACCCTAACCCTAACCCTAACCCTACCCCTACCCCTCACCCTAACCCTAACCCTAACCCATCTACCTAACCCTAACCCTCACCCGTCACCCTAACCCCTAACCCAACCCCACCCCGCACCCACCCCAACCCTAACCCAACCACCTAACCTAACCCACCGAACCTAACCACCTCAACCAACCTACCCACCCCACCCGAACCTCAACCCGAACCCTACCCTACCCTACCCCACCCAACCCTAACCCGAACCCACCCTAACCCGAACCCCTAACCCCAACCCAACCCCACCAACCTAACCCCCTCACCCTAACCCTAACCCATCTACCTAACCCTAACCCTAACCCTCACCCTCACCCTCACCCTCACCCTACCCCTAACCCTACCCCTCACCCTAACCCTAACCCATCTACCCTATAAGTTATAGGATCTATAGTCCCCACTTTTCATCTCTCTTCAATGAACTGAATTGATCTTCAAAGATTCTCGCCGCACCCCACCCAGCGCATATAGTGGATTTGCTGATCAAAATATAGTTGTAAAAAGGAGGAGATGTATCCAGAGCGTCTGCTAAATGACTCAAATGTAAATGTAAAAATGTAATAGACTGACTAATTTAGCAAAATGATATAATCAATAGTTAACACTCCCCCTATAGGTAAAGTATATCTACATTAACATAAAGTTGATCAGATATTTTATATATGGTTTTGATGGTTTTTTCATTTTCATGACGGTCTTCATCCAAAACCGCCAATGTCACAGCCCTATTAATATGTCTTCCCCTCTTTCGGTTTCACATGGTAACATGTTGTTCCTTTGTCTCACTCTCAGGAGTATCTGAACAGCATCCTGCAGCATGCCAAGGACTTTAAGGACTACCACCGCTCTATCTCCGGCAAGATGCAGAAGCTGAACAAGGCCATCGCCACCTGGCATACTAATACAGAGAGAGAACAGAAGAAAGAGACAGAGAGGATCGAGAAGGAGAGGATGAGGAGACTCATGGTGAGGAGGAGGAGGAGGAGGAGAGGAGGAGGAGGATGAGGAGGAGGAGGACTCATGGTGAGGAGGAGGAGGAGAGGAGGAGGAGGATGAGGAGGAGGAGGACTCATGGTGAGGAGGAGGAGGAGAGGAGGATGAGGAGGAGGAGGACTCATGGTGAGGAGGAGGAGGAGGAGATAGATGATGAGGAGGAGGAGGAGAGGAAGAGGAGATGAGGAGGAGGAGAAGAGGAGGAGGAAGGGTTAGAGGAGGAGAGGAGGAAGAGGAGAGGGAGGAAGAGGAGGAGGAGGGGGAGGAGAGGAAGAGGAGGAGAGGATGAGAGTTTCCCCTGTTAACCTTTAACCGCTCTGTCTGTCCAGGCGGAGGATGAGGAGGGCTACAGGAAGCTGATTGACCAGAAGAAGGACAAGCGTCTGGCGTACCTGCTGCAGCAGACTGACGAGTACGTAGCTAACCTAACTGACCTAGTCTACGAACACAAGGCAGCACAGGCCGCCAACATGAAGAAGAAGATGAAGAAGAAGAAGAGGAAGAAGAAGAAGAAGGTGAGAGAGAACCAGAAGGATATGCTTCTAGGTGTGACATCATGAGCTTGTTTTCCACAGGTCACAGTTCAAATCTGGAGACGAACTACCCAATGATGTGTCTGGGGAAGCACTGATATCACGTTAGCAATAGTATTATAGATCTGAGAGATTTAGTGTTGTGTCACTAGCAGCTTCCGTTTATTGTACCTGTGCTCACCTGTCCTGTCCTCTCTGACCCATAGAATATGGATGAGAGCGGGGAAGGGATGAGTGGCATCGGGCCTGACGGGGAGGTAAGATTACAACACAACCAACTCTAGAGACTAAATGTTGATGGTCCTTAAACATCCCTTTTCTACCAGTTTGATTGACTTCTGTAGTGGCTAAATAACTGTCTGTAGTAATAGTGTGTTGTCTCTATAGTCCATGGATGATGTCTGTAGTAATAGTGTGTTGTCTCTACAGCCCATGGATGATGTCTGTATTAATAGTGTGTTGTCTCTATAGTCCATGGATGATGTCTGTAGTAATAGTGTGTTGTCTCTACAGCCCATGGATGATGTCTGTAGTAATAGTGTGTTGTCTCTACAGCCCATGGATGATGTCTGTAGTAATAGTGTGTTGTCTCTATAGTCCATGGATGATGTCTGTAGTAATAGTGTGTTGTCTCTATAGTCCATGGATGATGTCTGTAGTAATAGTGTGTTGTCTCTATAGTCCATGGATGATGTCTGTATTAATAGTGTGTTGTCTCTACAGCCCATGGATGATGTCTGTAGTAATAGTGTGTTGTCTCTACAGTCCATGGATGATGTCTGTAGTAATAGTGTGTTGTCTCTACAGCCCATGGATGATGTCTGTAGTAATAGTGTGTTGTCTCTACAGTCCATGGATGATGTCTGTAGTAATAGTGTGTTGTCTCTATAGCCCATGGATGATGTCTGTAGTAATAGTGTGTTGTCTCTATAGTCCATGGATGATGTCTGTAGTAATAGTGTGTTGTCTCTACAGCCCATGGATGATGTCTGTATTAATAGTGTGTTGTCTCTATAGTCCATGGATGATGTCTGTAGTAATAGTGTGTTGTCTCTATAGTCCATGGATGATGTCTGTAGTAATAGTGTGTTGTCTCTATAGTCCATGGATGATGTCTGTAGTAATAGTGTGTTGTCTCTATAGTCCATGGATGATGTCTGTAGTAATAGTGTGTTGTCTCTATAGTCCATGGATGATGTCTGTAGTAATAGTGTGTTGTCTCTATAGTCCATGGATGATGTCTGTAGTAATAGTGTGTTGTCTCTATAGTCCATGGATGATGTCTGTAGTAATAGTGTGTTGTCTCTACAGCCCATGGATGATGTCTGTAGTAATAGTGTGTTGTCTCTATAGTCCATGGATGATGTCTGTAGTAATAGTGTGTTGTCTCTATAGTCCATGGATGATGTCTGTAGTAATAGTGTGTTGTCTCTATAGTCCATGGATGATGTCTGTAGTAATAGTGTGTTGTCTCTGTAGTCCATGGATGATGTCTGTAGTAATAGTGTGTTGTCTCTACAGCCCATGGATGATGTCTGTAGTAATAGTGTGTTGTCTCTACAGCCCATGGATGATGTCTGTAGTAATAGTGTGTTGTCTCTATAGTCCATGGATGATGTCTGTAGTAATAGTGTGTTGTCTCTACAGTCCATGGATGATTTCTGTATTAATAGTGTGTTGTCTCTATAGTCCATGGATGATGTCTGTATTAATAGTGTGTTGTCTCTACAGCCCATGGATGATGTCTGTAGTAATAGTGTGTTGTCTCTACAGCCCATGGATGATGTCTGTATTAATAGTGTGTTGTCTCTACAGCCCATGGATGATGTCTGTATTAATAGTGTGTTGTCTCTACAGCCCATGGATGATGTCTGTATTAATAGTGTGTTGTCTCTACAGCCCATGGATGATGTCTGTAGTAATAGTGTGTTGTCTCTACAGCCCATGGATGATGTCTGTAGTAATAGTGTGTTGTCTCTACAGCCCATGGATGATGTCTGTAGTAATAGTGTGTTGTCTCTACAGCCCATGGATGATGTCTGTATTAATAGTGTGTTGTCTCTACAGCCCATGGATGATGTCTGTATTAATAGTGTGTTGTCTCTATAGCCCATGGATGATGTCTGTAGTAATAGTGTGTTGTCTCTACAGCCTATGGATGATGTCTGTAGTAATAGTGTGTTGTCTCTACAGCCCATGGATGATGTCTGTATTAATAGTGTGTTGTCTCTACAGCCCATGGATGATGTCTGTAGTAATAGTGGGTTGTCTCTATAGTCCATGGATGATGTCTGTAGTAATAGTGTGTTGTCTCTATAGTCCATGGATGATGTCTGTAGTAATAGTGTGTTGTCTCTATAGTCCATGGATGATGTCTGTAGTAATAGTGTGTTGTCTCTATAGTCCATGGATGATGTCTGTAGTAATAGTGTGTTGTCTCTACAGCCCATGGATGATGTCTGTAGTAATAGTGTGTTGTCTCTATAGTCCATGGATGATGTCTGTAGTAATAGTGTGTTGTCTCTATAGTCCATGGATGATGTCTGTAGTAATAGTGTGTTGTCTCTATAGTCCATGGATGATGTCTGTAGTAATAGTGTGTTGTCTCTATAGTCCATGGATGATGTCTGTAGTAATAGTGTGTTGTCTCTATAGTCCATGGATGATGTCTGTAGTAATAGTGGGTTGTCTCTATAGTCCATGGATGATGTCTGTAGTAATAGTGTGTTGTCTCTACAGCCCATGGATGATGTCTGTAGTAATAGTGTGTTGTCTCTATAGTCCATGGATGATGTCTGTAGTAATAGTGTGTTGTCTCTACAGCCCATGGATGATGTCTGTAGTAATAGTGTGTTGTCTCTACAGCCCATGGATGATGTCTGTATTAATAGTGTGTTGTCTCTACAGTCCATGGATGATGTCTGTAGTAATAGTGTGTTGTCTCTACAGCCCATGGATGATGTCTGTAGTAATAGTGTGTTGTCTCTACAGCCCATGGATGATGTCTGTAGTAATAGTGGGTTGTCTCTACAGCCAATGGATGATGTCTGTAGTAATAGTGTGTTGTCTCTACAGCCCATGGATGATGTCTGTATTAATAGTGTGTTGTCTCTACAGTCCATGGATGATGTCTGTAGTAATAGTGTGTTGTCTCTACAGCCCATGGATGATGTCTGTAGTAATAGTGTGTTGTCTCTACAGCCCATGGATGATGTCTGTATTAATAGTGTGTTGTCTCTACAGTCCATGGATGATGTCTGTAGTAATAGTGTGTTGTCTCTACAGCCCATGGATGATGTCTGTAGTAATAGTGTGTTGTCTCTACAGTCCATGGATGATGTCTGTAGTAATAGTGTGTTGTCTCTACAGCCCATGGATGATGTCTGTAGTAATAGTGTGTTGTCTCTACAGTCCATGGATGATGTCTGTAGTAATAGTGTGTTGTCTCTACAGCCCATGGATGATGTCTGTATTAATAGTGTGTTGTCTCTACAGTCCATGGATGATGTCTGTAGTAATAGTGTGTTGTCTCTACAGCCCATGGATGATGTCTGTAGTAATAGTGTGTTGTCTCTACAGCCCATGGATGATGTCTGTAGTAATAGTGTGTTGTCTCTACAGTCCATGGATGATGTCTGTAGTAATAGTGTGTTGTCTCTACAGCCCATGGATGAGAGCAGTCAGATGAGTGAGCTGCCAGTCAAAGTGATTCAGACAGAAACCGGGATGGTTCTGCAGGGACTCGACGCCCCCAAGTCCTCACAGCTGGAGGCCTGGTTAGAGATGAACCCTGGGTAAGACACATGAAAATCCTACATTATTGATATTTTCTAGTTTCAGTTGTATTATTTTATTTGACTTGTAACCCGTCATTTTCCTTCTTTTAAACTCAGATATGAAGTGGCTCCAAGGTCAGACAGTGAGGAGAGCGGCTCAGAGTTTGAGGAGGAGGTGAGTGTCTCGTCTCATTAAAGCGGACATCCCATAGAGTTAGACTCCCGACCTCTACACCGCGACGGCCCACTTCAGCCCTCAGTTGTCAGCTCCTGCAGATGTCTGACTGCTTTTGTCTTAACTTAGCTTCATTAGCCTCCCTGTCACCTTCCCCTCTTCCTATGTCCTCTGGAGTTTCTAACATACAGGGCCGTGAAAAAGTATTTGCCCCTTTTCTGATTTTTTTGATACTGAATGTTATCAGATCTTCAGTCAAAACCTAATATTAGATAAAGGGGACCTGAGTTTACCGATAACCGTTGATATGAGATCCTTACAGTGGAATGCATCTGTCTATAGAACATTCTTCCAAGATTCTTGATGATCATCTAGGATCTTCCAGGTGCTTTTTGGAAAACTTGAGTCAACTGTTTGGACGAGATGGGTCCCAGTTATGCCTGGCCAAAACCAAACACTGCATTCCACAGTAAGAACCTCATACCAAAGGTCAAGCATGGTGGTGGTGGTGTGATGGTTTGGGGATGCTTTGCTGCCTCAGGACCTGGACGACTTGCCTTAATAGAAGGAACCATGAATTCTGCTCTGTATCAGAGAATTCTACAGGAGAATGTCAGACCATCCGTCTGTGAGCTGAAGCTGAAGCGCAGCTGGGTCATGCAGCAAGACAATGATCCAAAACACACAATCAAGTCTACATGAAAATGGCTAAGAAGCAACAAATGTGAAGTTTTGGAATGGCCTAGTCAAAGTCCAGACCTCATCCGAATCGAGATGTTGTGGCAGGACTTGAAACGAGCAGTTCGTTCACACTTGAAAACCCACAAATGTCGCTGAGTTACAGCAGTTCTACATGGAAGAGTGGGCCAAAATTCCTCCACAGTGACGTGAGAGACTGATTAACAACTACAGGAAGCATTTGGTTGGAGTCATTGCAGCTAAAGGTGGCACAACCAGTTATTGAGTGTAAGGGGGCAATTACGTTTTCACACAGGGGAATTGGGTGTTGCATAACTTTCTTTATGAAATAAATGAAAGAAGTATATACCGTATTTTCCGCACTATAAGGCGCACTTAAAAGCCTTTAATTTTCTCCAAAAACGACAGTGCGCCTTATAATCCGGAGCGCTTTATATATGGATCAATTGGTTAATTGGTTGATCCATGCTGGTTGTACACGCCGCTCAAGGCGCTCTGTCAAAATGTTTCAGTATGAAAAACCAATAAAAACAATTTAATAATAATGAAATGTTTCAGTACGACTGGTACACTACACAGCCGCACCGCTTGCAGCATTACGGCTACCGTTGTCAGTAAACACTGGTACTGTGCTTACTCACAGTCCCACACCACTTGTCTGTGTATAAAGACCCCAAAATGGCAGCTTTCAAGAGACACGCTTACGACGCAGAGTTCAAGCTCAAGGCTGTCGGTCACGCAGTAGAATATGGGAATAGAGCAGCAGCGAGAGAATTCAACATTAATGAATCAATGGGCTGATATATCAGTCTCAACTGTGGTCCAAGCTTTCACGAAGGCAGGAATAATCTCTAAACTGCCAGGCAACAGCAGCGACACTGACTCGGATAATGACGAGAGGGAGCCGGGCAGGTTGGATGCCGTAGTCGCCCAACTGTTCAATTCGGACACTGAAGAAGAAGAATTCGAGGGATTCGTGGACGGGGAATGAACTGAAAAAGTGAGTTTTACGTGTTATACGTAACTGAACAATGTTGAGTTATGCACTAACGTTTGATTTAGTGGTATCAGACTGTTTCTTTTACTATGTGTTTACTGAATCAGGGAAAAGTTCCCCTCCACGTTTGGGAGAAGAGTGAGCAAGGCTGGGAGATATTGTTAATATGCACATTAACGTTTGAACAACGTTACCATGGGAGTGAACGGAGTTGTCAGAACGCTTAATCCAGGCTCTGTCGTAGCTGGCCGCGACCGGGAGACCCATGGGGCGGCGCACAATTGGCCCAGCGTCGTCCAGGGTAGGGGAGGGAATGGCCGGCAGGGATGTAGCTCAGTTGGTAGAGCATGGTGTTTGCAACACCAGGGCTGTGGGTTCAATTCCCACGGGGGGTATAAAAAATAATGTATGCACTAACTGTAAGTCGCTCTGGATAAGAGCGTCTGCTAAATGACTAAAATGTAAATGTTAATAAAGTTTGACTTTATCTGACTGTTTTGTTGACATTCCCTTTAGCACAGCTCCATCTAGTGGATGCATAACGCAACCCCAGTCAATCGTTTGACTATCTTCTATTCTATGCGCCTTATAATCCGGTGCGCCCTATATATGAAAACAGTTCTAAAATAAGCCAGTCATTGAAGGTGCGCTTTATAATCCGGTGCGCCTTATAGTGCGGAAAATACGGTAATTGTTGTGTTATTTGTTCATTCAGGTTCTCTTTATCTAATATTAGGTTTTGGTTGAAGATCTGATAACATTCAGTATCACAAATATGCAAAAGTAGAGAACATTTGAAAGGCGGCAAATACTTTCCACGGGACTGTAGTAAAACCCATTCTGTGTGTTTCAGGATGAAGAGGAGGTCCCTGGAGTGTCTAGCCGGCCAGACTCTCAGTCTGAAGAGAAGAAGATCATCGATCCCAACAGTGACGAGTTCCCAGAGATCGTAACCAAGCACATCATCGAGTAGGTCTCCCTTTCACACCCTGACCTCTGACCCCTAACCCCTTACCCAAGCACATCATCGAGTAGGTCTCCCTTTCACACCCTGACCCTAACCTCTGACCTCTTACCCAAGCACATCATCGAGTAGGTCTCCCTTTCACACCCTGACCTCTGACCCTTAACCCCTTACCCAAACACATCATCGAGTAGGTCTCCCTTTCACACCCTGACCTCTGACCCCTAACCCCTTACCCAAACACATCATCGAGTAGGTCTCCCTTTCACACCCTGACCCTAACCTCTGACCTCTTACCCAAGCACATCATCGAGTAGGTCTCCCTTTCACACCCTGACCTCTGACCCCTAACCCCTTACCCAAGCACATCATCGAGTAGGTCTCCCTTTCACACCCTGACCCTAACCCTAACCCTAACCCAAACACATCATTGAGTATGTCTCCCTTTCACACCCTAACCCTAACCTCTGACCTCTTACCCCTTACCCAAGCACATCATTGAGTATGTCTCCCTTTCAAACCCTAACCTTTGACCTCTTACCCAAGCACATCATCGAGTAGGTCTCCCTTTCACACCCTAACCCTAACCTCTGACCCCTAATCCATAATCCATGCACATAATATAATAGGTCTTCCTTCACACCAGGGTTTCCGTTAGCCGGTAAATGCCAGCTTTTGGCTGGTAAAAAAATGAAAAAGCTGATTTAATTAAATTGTTGCCAGCCAAATCCTCAAGCTGCTGGACATTAGTGTCGGGGGTGTAGGATAATAAATCCTCAAGCTGCTGGACATTAGTGTTGGGTGTGTAGGATAATAAATCCTCAAGCTGCTGGACATTAGTGTCGGGTGTGTAGGATAATACATCCTCAAGCTGCTGGACATTAGTGTTGGGGGTGTAGGATAATAAATCCTCAAGCTGCTGGACATTAGTGTTGGGGGTGTAGGATAATAAATCCTCAAGCTGCTGGACATTAGTGTTGGGTGTGTAGGATAATAAATCCTCAAGCTGCTGGACATTAGTGTTGGGGGTGTAGGATAATAAATCCTCAAGCTGCTGGACATTAGTGTTGGGTGTGTAGGATAATAAATCCTCAAGCTGCTGGACATTAGTGTTGGGTGTGTAGGATAATACATCCTCAAGCTGCTGGACATTAGTGTTGGGTGTGTAGGATAATAAATCCTCAAGCTGCTGGACATTAGTGTTGGGTGTGTAGGATAATAAATCCTCAAGCTGCTGGACATTAGTGTTGGGTGTGTAGGATAATAAATCCTCAAGCTGCTGGACATTAGTGTTGGGGGTGTAGGATAATAAATCCTCAAGCTGCTGGACATTAGTGTCGGGGGTGTAGGATAATAAATCCTCAAGCTGCTGGACATTAGTGTTGGGTGTGTAGGATAATAAATCCTCAAGCTGCTGGACATTAGTGTCGGGTGTGTAGGATAATACATCCTCAAGCTGCTGGACATTAGTGTTGGGGGTGTAGGATAATAAATCCTCAAGCTGCTGGACATTAGTGTTGGGGGTGTAGGATAATAAATCCTCAAGCTGCTGGACATTAGTGTTGGGTGTGTAGGATAATAAATCCTCAAGCTGCTGGACATTAGTGTTGGGGGTGTAGGATAATAAATCCTCAAGCTGCTGGACATTAGTGTTGGGTGTGTAGGATAATAAATCCTCAAGCTGCTGGACATTAGTGTTGGGGGTGTAGGATAATAAATCCTCAAGCTGCTGGACATTAGTGTCGGGGGTGTAGGATAATAAATCCTCAAGCTGCTGGACATTAGTGTTGGGTGTGTAGGATAATAAATCCTCAAGCTGCTGGACATTAGTGTCGGGTGTGTAGGATAATACATCCTCAAGCTGCTGGACATTAGTGTTGGGGGTGTAGGATAATAAATCCTCAAGCTGCTGGACATTAGTGTTGGGGGTGTAGGATAATAAATCCTCAAGCTGCTGGACATTAGTGTTGGGTGTGTAGGATAATAAATCCTCAAGCTGCTGGACATTAGTGTTGGGGGTGTAGGATAATACATCCTCAAGCTGCTGGACATTAGTGTTGGGGGTGTAGGATAATAAATCCTCAAGCTGCTGGACATTAGTGTTGGGGGTGTAGGATAATAAATCCTCAAGCTGCTGGACATTAGTGTTGGGTGTGTAGGATAATAAATCCTCAAGCTGCTGGACATTAGTGTTGGGTGTGTAGGATAATAAATCCTCAAGCTGCTGGACATTAGTGTTGGGTGTGTAGGATAATAAATCCTCAAGCTGCTGGACATTAGTGTTGGGTGTGTAGGATAATAAATCCTCAAGCTGCTGGACATTAGTGTTGGGGGTGTAGGATAATAGGATGTAGGATTTTTTCTCCAAAACAGAGTAAAGACGGCCTCCAGATCGCTCCTTCTTGAGGACAAAGTAATGAGGCTGATGTGCATCAAGCGGCTCCAAGGAGTTGGACAGTTTTTGACTTCCCGACAGCAGCGGCTCACTTCGAGCAGGCCAAGGTCCACTGCAAACACAAGTAAATTAGAGGCAAATGATTGTGTTGGTCAGGCCCGGTCCTAGCAGTTCTGCTGCCACCTTAGGCAATATCAGCATATGCCACCCCTGTGTCATGTATAGGATACAGATTTGGAATGGATTGATAGACTACAGTAAGGATGTGTACAGGGCTCACAACTAACTTTTTGCCTCACCGTCCCGAAGTGCAGTTTCAACCGTCCCAAAATTGTATATACAGTTTTTTTGTTTTTGTTTTGATATGCCAACATGGGTCTAGGTCATTTGCAGTGCATTTAAAGTAATTGGTGTATTTCTGAGACAGATACAGACATTACATTAACTTAATTTGTTAAGAAAAAACCTTTTTGCATCTTAATGAAAACAGACTAACATCCATTAAATCAAATCAAATGTTATTTGTCACATGCACCGAATACAACAGGTGTGTGTAGACCTTACCGTGAAAAGCTTACTTACATTATTAATAATTATAATGTATTAATTGAACATGTTAACCACATGTATACAATATATCTAAGAGAGAACAATGTTAATGTGAACTGGTTACTGAATAAACTGAAGTTAATGTGCCACAGTCTCCAGAGTGGCGCAGTGGTCTAAGGCACTGCATCGCAGTGCTAGCTGTGCCACTAGAGATCCTGGTTCGAATCCAGGCTCTGTCGTAGCCGGCCGTGACCGGGAGACCCATGGGGCGGCGCGCAATTGGCCCAGCGTCGTCCAGGGTAGGGGAGGGAATGGCCGGCAGGGATGTAGCTCAATTGGTAAAGCATGGCGTTTGCAACGCCAGGGTTGTGGGTTCGATTCCCACAGGGGGCCAGTATGAAAAAATAATAATGTATGCACTCACTAACTGTAAGTCGCTCTGGATAAGAGCGTCTGCTAAATGACTAAAAATGTAAAAAGTTAGAGACATTCCACCACCAGCTGCCCCATTAAACAACATAACACAACAATATACATTACAGAACACGTGTTCCCCAGCCTTCACTTTCTCTGCCTCAGTCGCTGAAGAATGGTCGCATTGACCTTTTTGAACAGCTCCCTCAGCCCCGGTTCAGCGGGCTGCAGACAGGCTGGCAGAGAGTCAGATGTCCATTCTAATAGGCCTATTGGCCCAACATTGGAATGATATTCTAATATTCTACATTTCCATAACCTAATTCCATATGCGAAGCCTAGCCAGCCATGTCATTGTTTGAAACCTGAATGTTTTACATCTTACCTTGCTTTTAATAGCCTACAGCTAAAGTCCCACCATAGAAAAAAAGCACATTCTTTAAGGTTTTTCCTGATATTAAAAGCAGCATTTCTTCTTCTACTGTCCAAAGGTAGTAAGGCACAATCCTGTTGTTGCAACTTCAGATATTCCCTCTTTCTAAGTTTCTACCATTAGGCTGTATATCCATTTCTGTCGCATTATAAAAACCGCTGGCATCAAGTGCACGTTTGAGAACGGCGTTCTCCCGTAATAGCATTTTGAAACATTCACGCATATGGCCGAGACGAGTGAACACATTGCTGTACTTGTAATGTGAATTATTCATAGTTTATCAACTTTGAAGCTAAATGTTGTGATCCGTTTCATCAGCCTCGTCTTTGTGTTTAAACATTTTAGTATGGAACCACTGTTAGTATGGAACCACTGTTGGTATGGAACCACTGTTGGTATGGAACCACTGTTGGTATGGAACCACTGTTGGTATGGAACCACTGTTGGTATGGAACCACTGTTGGTATGGAACCACTGTTGGTATGGAACCACTGTTAGTATGGAACCACTGTTGGTATGGAACCACTGTTAGTATGGAACCACTGTTGGTATGGAACCACTGTTAGTATGGAACCACTGTTGGTATGGAACCACTGTTGGTATGGAACCACTGTTGGTATGGAACCACTGTTGGTATGGAACCACTGTTAGTATGGAACCACTGTTAGTATGGAACCACTGTTAGTATGGAACCACTGTTAGTATGGAACCGTATGGAACCGCTGTTGGTATGGAACCACTGTTAGTATGGAACCACTGTTGGTATGGAACCACTGTTGGTATGGAACCACTGTTGGTATGGAACCACTGTTAGTATGGAACCACTGTTAGTATGGAACCACTGTTAGTATGGAACCACTGTTAGTATGGAACCACTGTTAGTATGGAACCACTGTTGGTATGGAACCACTGTTGGTATGGAACCACTGTTAGTATGGAACCACTGTTGGTATGGAACCACTGTTAGTATGGAACCACTGTTGGTATGGAACCACTGTTAGTATGGAACCACTTTTGGTATGGAACCACTGTTAGTATGGAACCACTGTTGGTATGGAACCACTGTTAGTATGGAACCACTGTTGGTATGGAACCACTGTTAGTATGGAACCACTGTTGGTATGGAACCACTGTTGGTATGGAACCACTGTTAGTATGGAACCACTGTTAGTATGGAACCACTGTTAGTATGGAACCACTGTTAGTATGGAACCGCTGTTAGTATGGAACCGCTGTTGGTATGGAACCACTGTTAGTATGGAACCACTGTTGGTATGGAACCACTGTTGGTATGGAACCACTGTTGGTATGGAACCACTGTTGGTATGGAACCACTGTTGGTATGGAACCACTGTTGGTATGGAACCACTGTTGGTATGGAACCACTGTTGGTATGGAACCACTGTTGGTATGGAACCACTGTTGGTATGGAACCACTGTTAGTATGGAACCACTGTTAGTATGGAACCACTGTTGGTATGGAACCACTGTTGGTATGGAACCACTGTTAGTATGGAACCACTGTTGGTATGGAACCACTGTTAGTATGGAACCACTGTTGGTATGGAACCACTGTTAGTATGGAACCACTGTTAGTATGGAACCACTGTTGGTATGGAACCACTGTTAGTATGGAACCGCTGTTGGTATGGAACCACTGTTAGTATGGAACCACTGTTGGTATGGAACCACTGTTAGTATGGAACCACTGTTAGTATGGAACCACTGTTAGTATGGAACCACTGTTGGTATGGAACCACTGTTAGTATGGAACCACTGTTGGTATGGAACCACTGTTAGTATGGAACCACTGTTGGTATGGAACCACTGTTAGTATGGAACCGCTGTTAGTATGGAACCACTGTTGGTATGGAACCACTGTTGGTATGGAACCACTGTTGGTATGGAACCACTGTTGGTATGGAACCACTGTTAGTATGGAACCACTGTTGGTATGGAACCACTGTTAGTATGGAACCACTGTTGGTATGGAACCACTGTTAGTATGGAACCACTGTTGGTATGGAACCACTGTTAGTATGGAACCACTGTTGGTATGGAACCACTGTTGGTATGGAACCACTGTTGGTATGGAACCACTGTTGGTATGGAACCACTGTTAGTATGGAACCACTGTATTTCCACATAATTCCTGTCCTATAGTGGAAATTCTCGTTTAGGTTCCACCTCCAAAGAATGAAGTAGGCTGCTAATACAGATTCAGGAATTGGGGGCGGGAACGTTGGGGGTGGGAACGTTGGGGGTGGGAACGTTGGGGGCGGGAACGTTGTGGTGATTTCCACATGGAGTGGATGAATTACAACAAGTAGGGCACTGACAGCTGGCTAGCATGCTAACCTTATCCAGCTGTCAGTGTAGATGGCTAGCATGCTAACCTTACCCAGCTGTCAGTGTAGATGGCTAGCATGCTAACCTTATCCAGCTGTCAGTGTAGATGGCTAGCATGCTAACCTTACCCAGCTGTCAGTGTAGATGGCTAGCATGCTAACCTTACCCAGCTGTCAGTGTAGATGGCTAGCATGCTAACCTTATCCAGCTGTCAGTGTAGATGGCTAGCATGCTAACCTTATCCAGCTGTCAGTGTAGATGGCTAGCATGCTAACCATCTTGTGGGTGTTTTAAATAGGTTCATTAACATATGTTTTATGTATCTCAGGTCTGCAAAGCAGGATGTTGATGATGAGTACACGGTGCCAGAGACTGAACTGACCATCTTCCAGCAGTCGTACTATGGAGTGGCTCACGCCATCATTGAGAGGGTCGACAAACAGTCTTCGCTGCTCATCAACGGCATGCTCAAACACTACCAGGTAAAACTAGCTCAAACACGACCAGGTAAAAGTAACTCAAACACTACTGGGTAAATCTAGCTCAAACACGACCAGGTAAAAGTAACTCAAACACTACCAGGTAAAACTAGCTCAAACACTACCAGGTAAAACTAGCTCAAACACTACCAGGTAAAAGTAACTCAAACACTACCAGGTAAAAGTAACTCAAACACTACCAGGTAAAAATCTGTCCTGTATAGTACTGATCATGACCGAGAACCTAACCCACAACAAAACAACACGGCTATTTCCCTGTTCCTCCTCAGGTCCATGGGCTGCAGTGGAATTTTGTTTGTGTGTGGTGTGGGTCGAATTACTTGTTCCCTTCTCCTCTGTGTGTTTCAGGTGCAGGGTCTGGAGTGGAGGGAGTGTTAACTTCTTCTCCTCTGTGTGTTTCAGGTGCAGGGTCTGGAGTGGATGGTGTCTCTGTACAACAATAATCTGAATGGTATCCTGGCTGATGAGATGGGGCTGGGAAAGACCATCCAGACCATCGCCCTCATTACATACCTCATGGAACACAAGAGACTCAACGGACCCTACCTCATCATCGTTCCACTATCGTATGTTACCTCCCTTTTATAACCCTGACCACTGACCCCTGACCCTACCTCATCATCGTTCCACTATCGTATGTTACCTCCCTATTATAACCCTGACCACTGACCCCTGACCCTACCTCATCATCGTTCCACTATCGTATGTTACCTCCCTATTATAACCCTGACCACTGACCCCTGACCCTACCTCATCATCGTTCCACTATCGTATGTTACCTCCCTATTATAACCCTGACCACTGACCCCTGACCCTACCTCATCATCGTTCCACTATCGTATGTTACCTCCCTATTATAACCCTGACCACTGACCCCTGACCCTACCTCATCATCGTTCCACTATCGTATGTTACCTCCCTATTATAACCCTGACCCCTGACCCTACCTCATCATCGTTCCACTATCGTATGTTACCTCCCTATTATAACCCTGACCACTGACCCCTGCTGAGATCTCACTAGCTGTGGTTGCTGACTCGTATATGGTTGAATCATCAGCATACATGGACACACAGGCTTTGTTTAATGCCAGTGGCAGGTCATTGGTAAAAATAGAAAAGAGTAGAGGGCCTAGAGAGCTGCCCTGCGGTCCACCTCACTTTACATGTTTGAAGCTTCTATTAAAGAAAACCCTCTGAGTTCTATTAGATAGATAGCTCTGAATCCACGATATGGCAGAAGTTGAAAAGCCATAACACACGTTTTCTCAACAACAGGTTATGGTCAATAATATCAAAGGCTGCACTGAAATCTAACAGTACAGCTCCCACAATCATCTTATTATAAATTTCTTTCAACCAATCATCAGTCATTTGTGTCAGTGCAGTACATGCTGACTGCCCTTCTCTATAAGCATGCTGAAAGTCTGCTGTTAATTTGTTTACAGAGAAATATCATTATATCTGGTCAAACAATCCAAAAGTTTGCTAAGAATCGGCAGCAAGCTGATTGTTCGGATGTTAGAACCATTAAAGGGTGCTTTACCATTCTTGGGTAGAGGAATGACTTTGGCTTCCCTCCAGGCCTGAGGACAAACATGTTTCTCCAGAATCAGATTAAAGATATGACAGATAGGAGTGGCTATAGAGTCAGCTACCATCCTCAGTAGCTTTCCATCTAAGTTGTCAATGCCAGGAGGTTTCTCATTATTGATCAGCTACCATCCTCTGTAGTTTCCATCTAAGTTGTCAATGCCAGGAGGTTTCTCATTATTGATGGACAACAATATTTTTTCAACCTCACCCACATTAACTTGACATAATTCTAAATTACAATGATTTTATTTCATTATTAGGTATTTTATGCATTAATATGATGACTCACAGCTTGTTGTTGGCACTTCATGCCTGAGTTTGCCCACTTTGCCAATTAATAGTCATTCAAGTAATTGTCAACCTCAAAAGGTTTTGTTATAAATGAGCCATCTGATTCAATCACAGATGAAGTTCAATTAGTCTTTCTGCCCATAATTTCATTCACTCAGTACTTTGTTGAAGCACCTTTGGCAGCGATTACAGCATTGAGTGTTCTTGGGTATGATGCTACAAGCTTGGCACACCTGTATTTGGGGAGTTTCTCCCTTTCTTCTCTGCAGATCCTCTCAAGCTCTGTCAGGTTGGATGGGGAGCGTCGCTGCACAGCTATTTTCAGGTCTCTTCAGAGATATTCGATCGGGTTGAAGTCTGGGCTCTGGCTGGGCCACGCAAGGACATTCAAAGACTTGTCCCAAAGTCACTCCTGCGTTGTCTTGGCTGTGTGCTTAGGGTCGTTGTCCTGTTGGAAGGTGACCATCGGGTTCTTGGTCACCTCCCTGACCAAGGCTTTCTCCCCCGATTTCTCAGTTTGGCCGGGCGGCCAGCTCTAGGAAGAGTCTTGGTGGATCCAAACTTCTTCCATTTAAGAATGATGGAGGCCACTGTGTTCTTGGGGACCTTCAATGCTGCAGACATTTGTTGGTAGCCTTCCCCAGATCTGTGCCTCGACACAATCCTGTCTCAGAGCTCTACGGACAATTCCTTTGACCTCATGGCTTGGTTTTTGCTCTGACATACACTGTCAACTGTGGGACCTTATATAGACAGGTGTGTACCTTTCCAAATCATGTCCAATCAATTGAATTTACCACAGGAGGACTCCAATCAAGTTCAATGGAATTTGATGCACCTGAGCTCAATTTCGAGTCTCATAACAAAGGGTCTGAATACTTAATTAAATAAGGTATTTTTGGTTTTTCTACAAACCTGTTTTCGCTTTGTCATTATGGGGTATTGTGTGTAGATTGCATAGGATTTTTATTTATTTAATCATTTTCGAATAAGGCTGTAAAGTATCAAAGTGGATAAAGTCAAGGGGTCTGAATACTTTCCGAAGGCGCTATAGTCATGTACTGTTTATAAACACCCTGGTAGGTTGATTAATAACCTGAACCAGATTACAGGCACTGGTTACAGTGAGCAGCTTCCTCTTGAGTGTACAGCTTGATGAAAACCAGTCTATATTCAGGTCACCCAGAAAATAAACCTTTCTGCTAACATCACACACATTATCAAGCATTGCACACATATTATCCAGATACTGACTGTTACCGCTTGGTGGCCCTATAGCAGCGCCCCAAAAGAAGAAGCTTTAAATGAGGCAGGTGAACCTGCAGCTACAGGAATATGTCTCTGAACATATACAGCAGCACCTCCCCAATAGGCATGTATGTTCCTTCTGTAGATGTTATATCCTTGTATTGCTACTGCTGTATCATCAACGGAATTATCTAACTGAGTCTCAGAAATGGCTAATATACAGTGGGGGAAAAAAGTATTTAGTCAGCCACCAATTGTGCAAGTTCTCCCACTTAAAAAGATGAGAGAGGCCTGTAATTTTCATCATAGGTACACGTCAACTATGACAGACAAAATGAGAAGAAAAAAATCCAGAAAATCACATTGTAGGATTTTCTATGAATTTATTTGCAAATTATGGTGGAAAATAAGTATTCTTCAGTTCACTGTGTTGTGTTGTGGTGTGGTGTGGTGTGGTGTGAGGAGAATGTTGATTATGTAGAGTAGTGTGATGTGTTTCTAACATCCCAGCCTTAATCGTTCCTACTATGATATATTCTTCTCTGATCTCTCTGTCCTCCAGGACTCTGTCCAACTGGGTCTATGAGCTGGATAAATGGTCTCCGTCCGTTGTGAAGATTGCCTACAAGGTGAGAGACATCATATTCATCAGTCCTTTCTTCTTCCACTCCACAGGTAGCGTTCTGCAGCGTCCCAAAAATATCTCCCTTCTGCTCAAGTGTGCACTCGTTCATTAGTTCCCACAAATCTAAATGCACTGGATTGGTGAAGGCAATGGCTTTCCTTTCAAATCAGTGAACACTGCAGACTGGGAGGAAGGAAGGATAATTGGGACATAACCTCTGTCTTCTGTCTGTCTGACTCTGCTGTGTGTCTGTGTTACAGGGGACCCCTGCTATGAGACGAGGCCTGGTGGCTCAGCTCCGCAGCGGGAAGTTCAACGTCCTTCTCACCACCTACGAGTACATCATTAAGGACAAACAGATCCTGGCCAAGGTAGAACGGAAATATCCTTTCTTTCTCTCCCTCTTACCCCTCTGCGTCCTTCACTCTCATCTTACCCCCTCCTCTATCCCAGAGATACTGTCCTCCTCTCTTTCCCTCTCCTTCTCTGCCCCTCTCCCCCTTCTCCTCTGCCCCTCTGCCCCTCTCCCCCTTCTCCTCTGCCCCTCTGCCCCTCTCCCCCTTCTCTGCCCCTCTCCCCCCTCTCCTCTCCTCCCTAACCCTCTACATGTGGCTCCACAGGAGGGTCAGGTGCTTAGCCCAAAGCCACTGATGCACTAAAACCCACTTTACCTTCTATCCCCCCACACCTTCTATACACACACACCATCCCCCCTTCCCAGATCCGTTGGAAGTACATGATAGTTGACGAGGGTCACCGTATGAAGAACCACCACTGCAAGCTGACCCAGGTGTTGAACACCCACTATGTGGCCCCACGGCGCCTCCTCTTGACGGGTACGCCACTGCAGAACAAGCTGCCGGAGCTCTGGGCCCTGCTCAACTTCCTGCTGCCTACCATCTTCAAGTCCTGCAACACCTTCGAACAGTGGTTCAACGCCCCCTTCGCCATGACCGGGGAGAGGGTGAGTGTCAAATGCATATCTACTTTACAAGGTAAAGTTAGGTGACAAACACAGTCCAAAACATACATAAAATGCATCAATAACCTAGCAAAGGTAGGTGTAAGCCTGCATTACCAATGTTTCTAAATCTCTATAAATGAAAGATTTGAATTCAATGACAGAAAGGTGCAGACTGCAGCGATCACCATGTGAATAACTATAGATAATAATATGGCAGTACAGTAGATGGTGGAACGTTCTAACTGCAGAGAGAGTTGTTCTGATTCATCTTCCTGTGAAATACAACTTTTACTATGATGAAACCTATCTGCATTCATCGTTTCTCTACGCTCCTCTTGTGAAATAATATGTAATATGCGCCACTGTGAAATGTATCTCTTATGTTTTCAAGAGGGAACTTCTGCCCAGCTTTGAAACGGCAATAATTAAATAAATGGAACTGAAAGTGGTGAAAAGATTTGGAGATGAGAGATACTAACCACAAATCAGCACTTTGGGCCATATTCAGTCACACGGGCCTGTGGTAACCTTTGACCTGGGCCATATTCAGTCAGACGGGCCTGTGGTAACCTTTGACCTGGGCCATATTCAGTCAGACGGGCCTGTGGTAACCTTTGTCCTTGACCACACAACAGTTCATCAACCCTAGAATAACTACATGAGTAATTACAGTAGTAACTAGCTTGTTAGTAGATTAAGTTAATGGATGATCCTGATTGGTCCCCAGGTGGACTTGAATGAGGAAGAGACCATCCTGATTATCCGCCGTCTCCACAAGGTGCTCCGCCCCTTCCTGCTGAGACGACTCAAGAAGGAGGTGGAGTCCCAGCTTCCAGAGAAGGTGAGAGGGCTTATATTATACTATAGATACTTTACAGTATGTAAACCACAGATACTTGATACTGGATGATACTTGATGTATACAAACCACATACAGTTGAATTTGGAAGTTTACATACACTTTAAAACTCGTTTTTCAACCTCTCCACAAATTTCTTGTTAACAAACTATAGTTTTGGCAAGTCGGTTAGGACATCTACTTTGTGCATGACACAAGTAATTTTTCCAACAATTGTTTACAGAAAGATTATTTGACTTATAATTCACTGTATCACAATTCCAGTGGGTCAGAAGTTTACATACACTAAGTTGACTATGCCTTTAAACAGCTTGGAAAATTCCAGAAAATGATGTCATGGCTTTAGAAGCTTCTGATAGGCTAATTGACATCATTTGAGTCAATTGGAGGTGTACCTGTGGATGTATTTCAAGGCCTACCTTCAAACTCAGTGCCTCTTTGCTTGACATCATGGGAAAATCAAAAGAAATCAGCCAAGACCTCAGAAAATAAATTGTAGACCTCCACAAGTCTGGTTCATCCTTGGGAGTAATTTCCAAACGCCTGAAGGTACCACGTTCATCTGTACAAACAATAGTATGCAAGTATAAACACCATGGGACCACGCAGCCGTCATACCGCTCAGGAAGGAGACGCGTTCTGTCTCCTAGAGATGAACGTACTTTGGTGCGAAAAGTGCAAATCAATCACACAACAACAGCAAAGGACCTTGTGAAGATGCTGGAGGAAACAAGGTACAAAAGTATCTATATCCACAGTAAAACGAGTCCTATATCGACATAACCTGAAAGGCCGCTCAGCAAGGAAGAAACCACTGCTCCAAAACCGCCATAAAAAAGGCAGACTACGGTTTGCAACTGCACATGGGGACAAAGATTGTACTTTTCGGAAAAATGTCCTCTGGTCTGATGAAGCAAAAATAGAACTGTTTGGCCATGATGACCATCGTTATGTTTGGAGGAAAAAGGGGGGGCTTGCAAGCCGAAGAACACCATCCCAACCGTGAAGCACGGGGGGTGGCAGCATCATGCTGTGGGGGTGCTTTGCTGCAGGAGGGACTGGTGCACTTCAGAAAATAGATGGCATCATGAGGAAGGAAAATGATGTGGATATATTGAAGCAACATCTCAAGACATCAGTCAGGAAGTTAAAGCTTGGTCGCAAATGGCCCCAAGCATACTTCCAAAGTTGTGGTAAATGGATTAAGGACAACAAAGTCAAGGTATTGGAGTGGCCATCCCAAAGCCCTGACCTCAATCCTATAGAACATTTGTGGGCAGAACTGAAAAAGCGTGTGCGAGCAAGGAGGCCTACAAACCTGACTCAGTTACACCAGCTCTGTCAGGAGGAATGGGCCAAAATTCACCCAACTTATTGTGAGAAGCTTGTTGAAGGCCACCCGAAACGTTTGACCCAAGTTAATCAATTTAAAGGCAATGCTACCGAATACTAATTGAGTGTATGTAAACTTCTGACCCACTGGGAATGTGATGAAAGAAATAAAAATGAAATAAATCATTCTCTCTACTATTATTCTGACATTTCACATTCTTAAAATAAAGTGGTGATCCTAACTGACCTAAGACAGGGAATTTTTACTAGGATTGAATGTCAGGAATTGTGAAAAACGTAGTTGTATTTGGCTGAGGTGTATGTACACTTCCGGCTTCAGCAGTAGACTTGATATTTTAGGTGGAGTATGTCATCAAGTGTGACATGTCGGCCATCCAGAGGGTTCTGTACCGCCACATGCAGGGCAGAGGAATCCTCCTCACTGACGGATCTGAGAAAGACAAGAAGGTAGGAAGCAGAGAAACTCACAACTAATCTTTCTAACTATTGACCCTGATCAAGCATCAGATATGTAACATTGTTATTGTGTTCCTCAGGGTAAAGGAGGAGCGAAGACCCTGATGAACACCATCATGCAGCTGAAGAAGATCTGCAACCACCCCTACATGTTCCCACACATTGAGGTATGTTAGTTCTAGAACCACCCCTACATGTTCCCACACATTGAGGTATGTTAGTTCTAGAACCACCCCTACATGTTCCCACACATTGAGGTATGTTAGTTCTAGAACCACCCCTACATGTTCCAACACATTGAGGTATGTTACATGCTGCAACACATTGAGGTATGTTAGTTCTAGAACCACCCCTACATGTTCCAACACATTGAGGTATGTTACATGCTGCAACACATTGAGGTATGTTAGTTCTAGAACCATCCCTACATGTTCCAACACATTGAGGTATGTTACATGCTGCAACACATTGAGGTATGTTAGTTCTAGAACCACCCCTACATGTTCCAACACATTGAGGTATGTTACATGCTGCAACACATTGAGGTATGTTAGTTCTAGAACCACCCCTACATGTTCCAACACATTGAGGTATGTTACATGCTGCAACACATTGAGGTATGTTAGTTCTAGAACCATCCCTACATGTTCCAACATATTGAGGTATGTTACATGCTGCAACACATTGAGGTATGTTAGTTCTAGAACCACCCCTACATGTTCCCACACATTGAGGTATGTTAGTTCTAGAACCACCCCTACATGTTCCCACACATTGAGGTATGTTACATGCTGCAACACATTGAGGTATGTTAGTTCTAGAACCACCCCTACATGTTCCCACACATTGAGGTATGTTACATGCTGCAACACGTTGAGGTATGTTAGTTCTAGAACCACCCCTACATGTTCCAACACATTGAGGTATGTTACATGCTGCAACACATTGAGGTATGTTAGTTCTAGAACCACCCCTACATGTTCCAACACATTGAGGTATGTTAGATCTAGAACCACCCCTACATGTTCCATCACATTGAGGTGTGTTAGTTCTAGAACCACCCCTACATGTTCCATCACATTGAGGTAAGTTACATGCTGCAACACATTGATGTGTGTTAGTTCTCTAACCCCCCCTACATGTTCCAACACATTGAGGTATGTTAGTTCTAGAACCACCCCTACGTGTTCCAACACATTGAGGTATGTTAGTTCTAGAACCACACCTACATGTTCCAACACATTGAGCTATGTTAGTTCTAGAACCACCCCTACACGTTCCAACACATTGAGGTGTGTTAGTTCTAGAACCACCCCTACATGTTCCAACACATTGAGGTATGTTAGTTCTAGAACCACCCCTAGATGTTCCAACACATTGAGGTGTGTTAGTTCTAGAACCACCCCTACATGTTCCAACACATTGAGGTATGTTAGTTCTAGAACCACCCCTACATGTTCCAACACATTGAGGTATGTTAGTTCTAGAACCACCCCTAGATGTTCCAGCACATTGAAGTGTGTTAGTTCTAGAACCACCCCTACATGTTCCAACACATTGAGATATGTTAGTTCTTGAATCCCCCTAGATGTTCCAACACATTGAGGTATGTTAGTTCTAGAACCACCCCTAAATGTTCCAACACATTGAGGTATGTTAGTTCTAGAACCACCCCTACATGTTCCAACACATTGAGGTGTGTTAGTTCTAGAACCACCCCTACATGTTTCAACACATTGAGGTATGTTAGTTCTAGAACCACCCCTACATGTTCCAACACATTGAGGTATGTTAGATCTAGAACAACCACTACATGTTCCAACACATTGAGGTATGTTAGATCTAGAACCACCCCTACATGTTCCAACACATTGAGTGACGTTACATGTTCCAACACATTGAGGTATTTTAGATCTATAACCATCCCTACATGTTCCAACACATTGAGGTAAGTTAGTTCTAGAACCACCCCTACATATTCCATCACATTGAGGTAAGTTACATGCTGCAACACATTGAGGTATGTTAGTTCTAGAACCACCCCTAGATGTTCCAACACATTGAGGTATGTTAGTTCTAGAACCACCCCTAGATGTTCCAACACATTGAGGTAAGTTAGTTCTAGAACCACCCCTACATGTTCCATCACCTTGAGGTAAGTTACATGCTGCAACACACTGAGGTATGTTAGTTCTAGAACCACCCCTACATGTCCCAACACATTGAGGTATGTTAGTTCTAGAACCACCCCTAGATGTTCCAACACATTGAGGTAAGTTAGTTCTAGAACCACCCCTACATGTTCCATCACATTGAGGTAAGTTACATGCTGCAACACACTGAGGTATGTTAGTTCTAGAACCACCCCTAGATGTTCCAACACATTGAGGTATGTTAGTTCTAGAACCACCCCTAGATGTTCCGACACATTGAGGTATGTTAGTTCTAGAACCACCCCTACATGTTCCAACACATTGAGGTATGTTAGTTCTAGAACCACCCCTACATGTTCCAACACATTGAGGTATGTTAGTTCTAGAACCACCCCTACATGTTCCCACACATTGAGGTATGTTAGCTTAGAGTTAGATCTTCCCCTACATGCAATAACACCTCTAATTCAAGTTACCAACTAATCAGTCTTCTGCTGTGTCTAGACATGACAGTTACTGCGGTTTTTGTATTCTGATCATGGAGTTCTGGTCATGGAATCCACATTGTCCACATTGTGTCCGGATTCCCTGGCATATACATACTGCAAGCTGTTGAAAACACAACAACAACTTCATGGCAGTAGCTATCTACTGTAGCTAACTAGCCAGCTAACTACTGTAACTAACTAGCCAGCTATCTACTGTAGCTAACTAGCCAGCTAACATATGTAGCTAGCCAGCAAGCTAACTACTGTAACTAACTAGCCAGCTATCTACTGTAGCTAACTAGCCAGCTAACATATGTAGCTAGCCAGCAAGCTAACTACTGTAACTAACTAGCCAGCTATCTACTGTAGCTAACTAGCCAGCTAACATATGTAGCTAGCCAGCAAGCTAGCATACAAAGCTAAAGGGATTGCAAACAGGTTACCATAACTCTACGTTTTACTAGAAGAGTTTAGCAACATTTTAATTGGTCCCAGACTGCATGCAAATGTTTTGTTTGTGTCTGTTTCAATTCACACAACTCACTGTACAAGTTTTACTTAGTGAAGTCAGGATGTGTTAGCTGATAACTATGTAGATGTGCCAACTAATCACAAACTCTTAAGATTCTGATTTTCCACTATCTGCCTTGTCTCACAGGAGTCCTTTGCTGAGCACTTAGGCTTCCCGAACGGAGTTATCAGCGGGTAAGATGTTAAGATACTCAACGCTGTTCAGTTATTAAACAAAACATGAATTTCCTTCAAAAGACTTTCCCCTCTGGGACCATAAGGTTATTTGTTTTTCTTCTCCTCCTCCCCAGACACGAGCTGTACCGTGCATCGGGGAAGTTTGAGCTGCTGGACCGGATCCTACCCAAGCTACACGTCACCAACCACAGAGTTCTGCTGTTCTGTCAGATGACATCACTCATGACCATCATGGAGGACTACTTCGCCTACCGCAATTTCCTCTACTTGCGCCTGGACGGTATGTATCCCTGACCCTAAACTTTAACCCTACCTCAACTTCTACTACCTGCGCCTCGATGGTATGACAATGTCTTAACTTTAACCTAATCCAACTGCAGCCTCCCTTACCTGCGCCTCAACAATGTTTTCATCTGTTTTCATCAGTTTATGACAGGTGTATTGAAGTACAGTGCTTGTGGTATGCGTTGCTGTGTGTTGTAGGCACCACCAAGTCTGAGGACCGTGCAGCGCTGCTGAAGAAGTTCAATGAGAAAGGTTCCCAGTACTTTGTGTTCCTACTGAGTACCAGAGCCGGGGGACTGGGCCTCAACCTGCAGGCTGCGGACACTGTGGTCATCTTCGACTCTGACTGGAACCCTCACCAGGTACACAAACACACACACACACACGCACACACACACACACACACACACACACACACACACACACACACACACACACACACACACACACACACACACACACACACACACACACACACACATTCTAGTTAACCCTGGCTAACCCTGTTGTTTCTCTGTTCTGATTGGCTCCCAGGACCTCCAGGCCCAGGACAGGGCTCATCGTATTGGTCAGAAGAATGAGGTGCGTGTTCTGCGTCTGTGTACGGTCAACAGTGTGGAGGAGAAGATCCTAGCGGCTGCTAAGTACAAACTGAACGTGGACCAGAAGGTGATTCAGGCTGGCATGTTTGACCAGAAGTCGTCCAGCCACGAGAGGAGAGCCTTTCTACAGGCCATACTGGAGACAGAGGAGCAGAATGAGGTTGGTCACGGTGGCGTGGGGATAAAGATTAAATGCAGTTCCTTGCAGGTATGTTGGAGATGTTCACACACACACCTTGATCCATCTAACACAACTGATCTAGAGGGTTGATCCATCTAACACAACTGATCTAGAGGGTTGATCCATGTAACACAACTGATCTAGAGGGTTGATCCATCTAACACAACTGATCTAGAGGGTTGATCCATGTAACACAACTGATCTAGAGGGTTGATCCATGTAACACAACTGGTCTAGAGGGTTGATCCATGTAACCCAGAACTGGTCTAGTGAGGAACATAAAACCATAGTGCCCAGATACAAAAAACGATTCAACCATGCTAAAACTCACTTAGCCTCATTCAAGAATGCTAAAACTCACTTAGCCTCATTCAAGAATGCTAAAACTCACTTAGCCTCATTCAAGAATGCTAAAACTCACTTAGCCTCATTCAAACATGCTAAATCTCACTTAGCCTCATTCAAGAATGCTAAAACTCACTTAGCCTCATTCAAACATGCTAAATCTCACTTAGCCTCATTCAAACATGCTAAAACTCACTTAGCCTCATTCAACCATGCTAAAACTCACTTAGCCTCATTCAAGAATGCTAAAACTCACTTAGCCTTATTCAAACATGCTAAATCTCACTTAGCCTCATTCAAACATGCTAAAACTCACTTAGCCTCATTTAACCATGCTAAAACTCACTTGCCTTGTTCAAGAATGCTAAAACTCACTTAGCCTCATTCAACCATGCTGAAACTCACTTAGGCTCAATCAACAGTGCTAAAACTCACTTAGCCTCAGTCAACCATGCTAAAGCTCACTTAGCCTCGTTCAACCATGCTAAAGCTCACTTAGCCTCGTTCAACCATGCTAAAACTCACTTAGCCTCAGTCAACCATGCTAAAACTCACTTAGCCTCAGTCAACCATGCTAAAGCTCACTTAGCCTCGTTCAACCATGCTAAAACTCACTTAGCCTCGTTCAACCATGCTAAAACTCACTGACAGAATACGGAAAACATAGTTGACATGAAACCAGTTGGTCAGTACTGAGGCCATTCCAAAGCACACAGAATGCATACCATACCGTACCATGCTATACTATATGCATCTACAATGTGCAGCTTATTCATTATCCATTTCTTATCCTCAACATGGTAGAAGCTTAAACACAACCACCTTATAATGTGAATGTTTCCTGTGTTCTTGTGTTTTTCCTTCTAAATGAAGGAGGAAGAGAAAAGTCAGGTGGCTATGGTAATTAACAACTATTATTATTATAATATTGTGGCTATGGTAATTAACAACTCTTATTATTATTATTATTATTATTATTATTATTATTATTATTATTATAATATTGTGGCTATGGTAATGAACAACTATTATTAGTATCATTACATATTGTGGCTATGCTAATTTCAACTATTTCAACTATTATCATCATGTTATCATCATATTGTGGCTATGGTAATTAACAACTATTATTATTATTATATTGTGGCTATGGTAATTAACAACTATTATTATTATTATATTGTGGCTATGGTAATTAACAACCATTATTATTATCATACTGTGGCTATGGTAATTAACAACTGTCCAGCATGCAATACAATACAGGGCCAGCATACAATACAGGCATACAATACAATACAATACAATACAGGTATACAAAACACTACAGGCACAGCATGCAATACAATACAAGGCAATACACTCATATATACATTTTACATTTACATTTTAGTCATTTAGCAGACGCTCTTATCCAGAGCGACTTACAGGAGCAATTAGGGTTAAGTGCCTTGCTCAAGGGCACATTTACGTCATTTAGCAGACGCTCTTATCCAGAGCGACTCACCAATTGGTGCGTTCACCCTATAGCCAGTGGGATAACCACTTTACAATTTTGGGGGGGGGGGGGGGGGGGGGGGGGGGGGGGGGGGGGGGGGGTTAGAAGGATAACTTTATCCTATCCCACAATCACTCTAAGCTACTGTATTTTCAAAAGTTGGCATTGTAAATAGCATATTAGTAGGTGGGTGTTCAAAACATACGGTTTAGAATATTAAAACAAACGCGTCCGCTAAGTGTTCATTCACAGCAGGGTTTTGCGCGAAAGGAAAAAGGAACGCTCATTTGTGGACGGGGATAGGAGTCGTCTTTCTCCGCCATTTTGTGACAACAAGAAGCGGAAAACATAGCTAGCAAAGAACTGGCTACAGAGCTCAGAATGACGAATGAGGAACCCCTTCCAAAGAAGGTTCGCCTCAGTGAATCTGACATGAAGACCCTGACCCGAGAGGAACTGTGTGTGAGGTGGAAACAACATGAAACCTATGTCCAGGTCCTGGAAGCTGTCCAGTCCAAAATATGCTGATCTGAATTGGAACAATGTGACGGGGCTGAAGGAGTCTGAGGAGAAGCTGAAGCTGCAGCAGGGGGAACATCCTGGTCATGCGGCTCGCCACCAAGGAGCAGGAAATGTAAGAGTGTACAACCCAGATCCAGTACCTCAAGCAAGTCCAACAGCCCAGTGCAGCAGCCAAGTCCAGCAGCCCAGTGCAGCTGGGTCGTCCATGGTAGACCCGGCCATAAACTTATTTTTCCTCAAAATGAAGGGCGAACTGGAACAGACTAAAGACAAACTGGAGCAGGCCCAAAATGAACTGAGTGCCTGGAAATTTACACCAGATAGCCAGACGGGGAAGAAGCTCATGGCCAAGTGCGGGATGCTGATCCAGGAGAACCAGGAGCTGGGGAGGCAGCTGTCCCAAGGCCATTTATCACCCAGCTGGAGGCAGAGGAAGTACAGTGAGAAGCTGAAGAGCAGCCAGGATGAGTTGAACGATTTCATCATCCAGCTGGATGAGGAGGTGGAGGGCATGAAGAGCACCATCCTGGTCCTCCAGCAGCAGCTCAGGGAGACCCGTCTGCAGCTCTCCCAGAACCCAGCTCAGGGAGACCCGTCTGCAGCTCTCCCAGAACCCAGCTCAGGGAGACCCGTCTGCAGCTCTCCCAGAACCCAGCTCAGGGAGATCCGTCTGCAGCTCTCCCAGAACCCAGCTCAGGGAGACCCGTCTGCAGCTCTCCCAGAACCCAGCTCAGGGAGACCCGTCTGCAGCTCTCCCAGAACCCAGCTCAGGGAGATCCGTCTGCAGCTCTCCCAGAACCCAGCTCAGGGAGACCCGTCTGCAGCTCTCCCAGAACCCAGCTCAGGGAGACCCGTCTGCAGCTCTCCCAGAACCCAGCTCAGGCTGCCTCTGTTGGGGCAGGGCCCAGCAGGACTTCACCCTCCAGCTGCTCTGCCGAGCCCCCCAGCCAGGCCGAGCAGACCTTCACCCCCTCCTCCGCCCAGCCAGGGAAAGACTGCGAGAGGGTCTCCAACGGACCTAGCAACGGTAGCTCGTCCTCCCAGAGAGGTGCAGCGGCCACCCCCAGCCTGTACCGTGAGGTCAGCAGCACAGAGGAAGACTTTCCTCCGTCTCCCATGGTCTCCAGCCCCGGCGAGGGCGAGACTAAACTCTCCAACCACTCAGAGGCAGCGGGGGACCAGACTAGTGACGGTGCAGGGGGTTTTGGGAGCCAGCTGAGCACAGGGTACGAGAGCGTGGACTCCCCAACTGGCAGTGAGACGTCCCTGACGCAGCACTCGAATGACACAGACTCCAACACCGACCCCCATGAGGAAAAGGCAGTCCCGGTCGTCAAGTTTTATATGTACTTTATAATAACACGTATGTCTGTCTTTTTATACGAGACCCAAACAAAAACAATGAACACATAGTCGGTAACAGTACTGAGCCCTAGGACCATACGTCGGGACTACCGGCCGTGGTGACTCCTTGCTATCCCCAGTCCGCCTGGCCTTGCTGCTATTCCAGTTTAAACTGTTCTGCCTGCGGTTATGGAACCCCTACCTGTCCCAGACCTGCTGTTTTCAACTCTTAATGATCGGCTATGAAAAGCCAACTGAGATTTATTCCTGATTATTATTTGACCATGCTTGTCACTTATGAACATTTTTGAACATCTTGGCATGGTTCTGTTATAATCTCCACCCGGCACAGCCAGAAGAGGACTGGCCACCCCTCATAGCCTGGTTCCTCTCTAGGTTTCTTCCTAGGTTTTGCCTTTCTAGGGAGTTTTTCCTAGCCACCGTGCTTCTACACCTGCATTACTAGCTGTTTGGGGTTTTAGGCTGGGTTTCTGTACAGCACTTCGAGATATTAGCTGATGTAAGAAGGGCTATATAAAATAAAATTGATTGATTGAATTAGTTTTTCCATCCTCTTTCCTTTGCCTATTGTGATACCTCTGCCAAAACCTAAAGAAAATAGTTGCGTTGCTAAACCGGAACATTACGTTTAATGTATATAGATTTGAATTTAGTTTTTTGTATGATTCAAGCTAGATATTTGTAAGTCCCTCTGGATAAGAGCGTCTGCTAAATGATGTAAATGAATAAATGAGAATACAATACAGGTACAGGATGCAATATAATACAGGTACATCATGCTGTACAATACAATACTGGTACAGCATACAATACAATACAGGTACAGCATAAAATACAATACAGATACAGCGTACAATACAGGTACAGGATGCAATATAATACAGGTACATCATGCTGTACAATACAATACTGGTACAGCGTACACTACAGGTACAGCATACAATACAATACAATACAGGTACAGCATACAATACAATACAATACAGGTACAGCATGCAATACAATACAATACAGGTACAGCATGCAATACAATACAGGTACAGCATGCAATGCAAAACAATGCAATACAATACAGGTACAGCGTACACTACTGGTACAGCATACAATACAATACAATACAGGTACAGCATACAATACAGATACAGTGTACAATACAGGTACAGCATACAATACAGATACAGCGTACAATACAGGTACAGCATACAATACAGGTACAGCATACAATGCAAAACAATACAGTACAATACAGGTACATCATACAATACAATACAGGTACAGCATACACTACAGTACAGGTCCAGCATACAATACAATACAGGTCCAGCATGCAATACAAATAAAATGGAATCAAATGTATTGGTCACATACACATGGTTAGCAGATGTTATTGCGAGTGTAGCGAAATGCTTGTGCTTCTAGTTCCGAAAGTGCAGTAATATCTAGCAAGTAATATCTAACAGATACACAACAAATATCTAATACACACAAATCTAAGTAAAGGAATGGAATAAGAATATGTAAATATATGGATGAGTGATGTCATTATCAGAGCAGCATAGGCTAAGATGCAATAGATAGTATAGAATACAGTATATACAGATGAGATGGGTAATGCAAGATATGTAAACATTATTAAAGTGGTATTATTAAAGTACTAGTGTTCCATTTATGAAAGTGGCCAGTGACTTTCAAGTCTGTATGTAGGCAGCAGCCTCTCTGTGCTAGTGATGACTATTTAACAGTCTGATGGCCTTGAGATAGAAGCTGTTTTTCAGTCTCTCGGTCCCAGCTTTGATGCACCTGTACTGACCTCACCTTCTGGATGATAGCGGGGTGTCACGATCGTTGAGAGACGGGTCAGACCAAGGTGCAGCGTGAAAACTGTACATGTTTATTAACTGAATAAACATACAACAAAACAAGAACCAACGTAACGTGAAGTCCTCCGGCTATACACATACAAGCCTAAACGGAACAAGATCCCACAACTAAGGTAGGCAAGCAGGCTACTTAAGTATGATCCCCAATCAGAGACAACGAGCGACAACTGCCTCTGATTGGGAATCACACCCGGCCAAACATAGAAATATCAACCTAGATCTGCAACATAGAAATAGACTATCATAGATCTCAAATAGACATTCACACCCTGACTCAACAAACAAGAGTTCCATAGGTCAGGGCGTGACACTGGGTGAACAGGCAGTGGCTCGGGTGGTAGTTGTCCTTGATTATCTTTTTGGCCTTCCTGTGACATCGGGTGCTGTAGGTGTCCTGGAGGGCAGGTAGTTTGCCCCTGGTGATGCGTTGTGCAGACCGCACCACCCTCTGGAGAGCCCTGCGGTTGCGGGCGGTGCAGTTGCCGTACCAGGCGGGGATACAGCCCGACAGGATGCTCTCAATTGTGCATCTGTAAAAGTCTGAGGGTTTTAGGTGACAGGCCAAATTTCTTCAGCCTCCTGAGGTTGAAGAGACGCTGTTGCGCCTTCTTCACCACACTGTCTGTGTGGGTGGACCATTTCAGTTTGTCAGTGATGTGTACGCAGAGGAACTTGAGGCTTTCCACCTTCTCCACTGCGGTCCTGTTGATGTGGACAAGGGCGTGTTTCCTGAAGTCTACAATCATCTCCTTTGTTTTTTTGACGTTGAGTGAGAGGTTATTTTCCTGGCACCACACTCCCAGAGCCCTCACCTCCTCCCTGTAGGCAGTCTCATCATTGTTGGTAATCAAGCCTACTACTGTTGTGTTGTCTGCAAACTTGATGATTGAGTTGGAGACGTGTGGCTACGCAGTTATGGGTGAACAGGGAGTACTGGAGGGGGCTGAGCACACACCCTTGTGGGGCTCCAGTGTTGAGGATCAGCGAAGTGGAGATGTTGTTTCCTACCTTCACCACCTGGGGGCGGCCTGTCAGGAAGTCCAGGACCCAATTGCACAGGGCGGGGTTCAGACCCAGGGCCCCAAGCTTGATGATGAGCTTGGAGGGTACTATGGTGTTGAATGCTGAGCTATAGTCAATGAACAGCGTTCTTACATAGGTATTCCTCTTGTCCAATACACTACAATACAGATACAGCATACACTACTGGTACAGCATACAATACAATACAGGTACAGCATACAATACAATACAGGTACAGCATACAATACAATACAATGCAATACAATACAGATACAGCATACAATACAGGTACAGTGTACAATACAATACAGATACAGCATACAATACAATACAGGTACAGCATACAATGCAATACAATACAGATACAGCATACAATTCAATACAGGTACAGCATACAATACAATGCAGGTACAGCATACAATACAATGCAATACAATACAGATACAGCATACAATTAAATACAGGTACAGCATACAATGCAATACAGGTACAGCATACAATACAATGCAGGTACAGCATACAATACAATGCAATACAATACAGATACAGCATACAATTAAATACAGGTACAGCATACAATACAATGCAATACAATTCAATACAGGTACAGCATACAATACAATACAGATACAGCATACAATTCAATACAGGTACAGCATACAATGTAATACAATACAGATACAGCATACAATTCAATACAGGTACAGCATACAATACAATACAGATACAGCATACAATTCAATACAGGTACAGCATACAATACAATACAGGTACAGCATACAATGCAATACAGATGCAGCATACAATTCAATACAGGTACAGCATACAATGTAATACAATACAGATACAGCATACAATTTGGTACAGGTACAGCATACAATACAATGCAATACAATTCAATACAGGTACAGCATACAATGTAATACAATACAGATACAGCATACAATTCAATACAGGTACAGCATACAATACAATACAGGTACAGCATACAATACAATGCAATACAATACAGATGCAGCATACAATTCAGTACAGGTACAGCATACAATACAATGCAATACAATTCAATACAGGTACAGCATACAATACAATACAGATACAGCATACAATTCAATACAGGTACAGCATACAATACAATACAGGTACAGCATACAATACAATGCAATACAATACAATACAGATGCAGCATACAATTCAATACAGGTACAGCATACAATGTAATACAATACAGATACAGCATACAATTCAATACAGGTACAACATACAATACAATACAGGTACAGCATACAATACAATGCAATACAATACAATACAGATGCAGCATACAATTCAATACAGGTACAGCATACAATGTAATACAATACAGATACAGCATACAATTCAATACAGGTACAACATACAATGTAATACAATACAGATGCTGTCCTGGCGTCGTGAGGGAGCTTGTTCCACCATTGGGGTGCCAGAGCAGCGAACAGTTTTGACTGGGCTGAGCGGGAACTGTGCTTCCGCAGAGGTAGGGGGGCTAACAGGCCAGAGGTGGATGAACGCAATGCCCTCGTTTGGGTGTAGGGACTGATCAGAGCCTGAATGTACGGAGGTGCCGTTCCCCTCACTGCTCCATAGGCAAGCACCATGGTCTTGTAGCGGATGCGAGCTTCAACTGGAAGCCAGTGGAGTGTGCGGAGGAGGGGGGTGACGTGAGAGAACTTGGGAAGGTTGAACACCAGACGGGCTGCGGCATTCTGGATGAGTTGTAGGGGTTTAATGGCACAGGCAGGGAGCCCAGCCAACAGCGAGTTGCAGTAATCCAGACGGGAGATGACAAGTGCCTGGATTAGGACCTGTGCCGCTTCCTGTGTAAGGCAGGGTCGTACTCTCCGAATGTTGTAGAGCATGAACCTACAGGATCGGGTCACCGCCTTGATGTTAGCGGAGAACGACAGGGTGTTGTCCAGGGTCACGCCAAGGCTCTTCGCACTCTGGGAGGAGGACACAACGGAGTTGTCAACCGTGATGGTGAGATCATGGAACGGGCAGTCCTTCCCCGGGAGGAAGAGCAGCTCCGTCTTGCCGAGGTTCAGCTTGAGGTGGTGATCCGTCATCCATATGTCTGCCAGACATGCAGAGATGCGATTCGCCACCTGGTTATCAGAAGGGGGAAAGGAGAAGATTAGTTGTGTGTCGTCTGCGTAGCAATGATAGGAGAGGCCATGTGAGGATATGACAGAGCCAAGTGACTTGGTGTATAGCGAGAATAGGAGAGGGCCTAGAACTGAGCCCTGTGGGACACCAGTGGTGAGAGCACGTAGTGCGGAGACAGATTCTCGCCACGCCACTTGGTAGGAGCGACCAGTCAGGTAGGACGCAATCCAAGAGTGAGCCGTGCCGGAGATGACCAGCTCGGAGAGGGTGGAGAGGAGGATCTGATGGTTCACTGTATCAAAGGCAGCAGACAGGTCTAGAAGGACAAGAGCAGAGGAGAGAGAGTTAGCTTTAGCAGTGCGGAGAGCCTCCGTGACACAGAGAAGAGCAGTCTCAGTTGAATGACCAGTCTTGAAACCTGACTGGTTTGGATCAAGAAGGTCATTCTAAAGAGAGACAGCAAGAGAGTTGGCTAAAGACGGCACGCTCAAGTGTTTTGGAGAGAAAAGAAAGAAGGGATACTGGTCTGTAGTTGTTGACATTGGAGGGATCGATGTCAACAGCATACAATACAGATACAGAATACAATACAATATAGATACAGCATACAATACAATACAGGTACAGCATACAATACAATACAGGTACAGCATACAATACAGATACAGCATACAATACAGGTACAGCATACAATACAATACAGATACAGCATACAATACAGTGTACAATACAATACAGGTACAGCGTACAATACAGATACAGTGTACAATACAATACAGGTACAGCATACAATACAGATACAATATACAATACAATACAGATACAGCATACATCATACAATACAGGTACAGTGTACAGCATAGAATACAATACAATACAGATACAGCATACAATACAGGTACAGCATACAATACAATACAGATACAGCATACAATACAGGTACAGAATACAATACAGAGTACAATACAGATACAGTATACATTTGTAATTATATTGTAATTATATGCCATTTAGCAGACGCTTTTATCCAAAGCGACTTACAGTCATGTGTGCATACATTTTTACGTATGGGTGGTCCCGGGGATCGAACCCACTACCCTGGCGTTACAAGCGCCATGCTCTACCAATTGAGCTACAGAGGACCACATGATGTCTCTCTGTAGTGTCTGATGTCTGTCTGTACTGTGTGTCTGTAGTGGCTGATGTCTGTCTGTCTGTACTGTGTGTCTGTAGGAGGAAGATGAGGTGCCTGATGATGAGACTCTGAACCAGATGATCGCCCGTAACGAGGATGAGTTTGAGTTGTTCATGGTGAGAAGCACGTTACATTAACAGTAGCCATTGGTCTGGTGCTTTTTAGACATTTATATATATTATTGAGTTTGAATACTGACACAATAAGACCACAATAGGGTAAAGGTTAGGTTAAATGTTAGGTTAAAGGTTGGATTAAAGGTTAGGGTAAAGGTTAAAGGTTAGGGTAAAGGTTAAAGGTTAGGGTAAAGGTTAGGGTAAAGGTTAAGGTAAAGGTTTGGTTAAAGGTTGGGTAAAGGTAAAGTTTAAGGTTAGGGTAAAGGTTAGGTTAAAGGTTGGGTAAAGGTAAAGTTTAAGGTTAGGGTAAAGGTTAGGGTAAAGGTTAGGTTAAATGTTCGGTAAAGGTTAGGTTAAAAGTTAGGGTAAAGGTTAGGTTAAAGGTTCGGTAAAGGTTCGGTAAAGGTTAGGTTCAAGATTAGGTTAAAGGTTAGGGTAAAGGTTAGGTTAAAGGTTAAAGGTTAGGTTAAAGATTAGGGTAAAGGTTAGGGTAAAGGTAAAGTTTAAGGTTAGGGTAAAGGTTAGGGTTAAGGTTAGGGTAAAGGTTAGGGTAAAGGTTAGGTTAAAGGTTAGGTTAAAATTAGGGTAAAGGTTAGGGTAAAGTTTAAGGTTAGGGTAAAGGTTAGGGTAAAGGTTAGGTTAAAGGTTGGGTAAAGGTAAAGGTTAGGGTAAAGGTTAGGGTATAGGTTAGGGTAAAGGTTAGGTTAAAGGTTAGGTTAAAGGTTAGGGTAAAGGTTAGGTTAAAGGTTAAAGGTTAAAGATTAGGTTAAAGATTAGGGTAAAGGTAAAGTTTAAGGTTAGGGTAAAGGTTAGGGTAAAGGTAAAGTTTAAGGTTAGGGTAAAGGTTAGTGTAAAGGTTAGGTTAAAGGTTGGTTAAAGGTAAAGTTTAAGGTAAACTTTAAGGTTATGTTAAATGTTAAAGGTTAGGGTAAAGGTCAAGTTTAAGGTTAGGGTAAAGGTTAGGGTAAAGGTTAGGGTAAAGGTAAAGTTTAAGGTTAGGGTAAAGGTTAAGGTTAGGGTTGGGATTGGGGTAAAGGTTAGGGTAAAGGTTGGGTAAAGGTTGGGGTTAGGGTAAATGTTAGGGTTATAACCTAATAAAGTGTTGTTTCCTCTTTAGAGTTAGGGTTAGGGTAAAGTGTTGTTGTTTCCTCTAGAGTATGGACCTGGACCGGCGGCGGGAGGACGCCAGGAACCCCAAAAGGAAGCCGCGTCTGATGGAGGAGGATGAGCTGCCATCTTGGATCGTCAAGGATGACGCGGAGGTGGAGCGGCTCACCTGTGAGGAAGAGGAGGAGAAGATCTTCGGCCGAGGATCACGCAGGAGAGGCGACGTTGACTACAGTGATGCCCTGACAGAGAAACAGTGGCTCAGGGTAGGCTGGAACATATTAACTATTTATAAAGATTAACCAAAACATAGAAACAGTGGCTCATGGTATGCCATAATCTAAGGCTTAATCTCCATAACCCCCTAGTGGTAGGGAGTTGAATAACCCTGGGGAATGGGACCATATTAAATCACTTGCACACAGCAGAAGCCGCCAAAGGATAGCCTACCACGCTATTCAGTAAAGTGTTGTTTACAGCCCTGTGTTGGCGACAGTAATATCTTTCCTTATATTTCCCATGCAACAAATGCGTACGGAGAATGGAGAAAGACCCACTTAGAATTTGTGTTGCCATCCTAGGGTCATGCACTACTCATAAAGCAAATGTAGAACTAAAATATTTGTCAGATGATATTTGGGCCATATTGCCAAGTTCTAGGTTCAATGTGGAGTAGTAATGTAGTCATCCTCTGGTTGTGGTTCAATGTGGAGTAGTAATGTAGTCATCCTCTGGCTGTGGTTCAATGTGGAGTAGTAATGTAGTCATCCTCTGGTTGTGGTTCAATGTGGAGTAGTAATGTAGTCATCCTCTGGTTGTGGTTCAATGTGGAGTAGTAATGTAGTCATCCTCTGGCTGTGGTTCAATGTGGAGTAGTAATGTAGTCATCCTCTGGCTGTGGTTCAATGTGGAGTAGTAATGTAGTCATCCTCTGGCTGTTGTTCAATGTGGAGTAGTAATGTAGTCATCCTCTGGCTGTGGTTCAATGTGGAGTAGTAATGTAGTCATCCTCTGGCTTGTGGTCAATGTGGAGTAGTTAATGTAGTCATCCCCCTGGCTGTGGTTCAATGTTGGAGTAGTAATGTAGTCATCCTCTGGCTGTGGTTCAATGTGGAGTAGTAATGTAGTCATCCTCTGGTTGTGGTTCAATGTGGAGTAGTAATGTAGTCATCCTCTGGCTGTGGTTCAATGTGGAGTAGTAATGTAGTCATCCTCTGGCTGTGGTTCAATGTGGAGTAGTAATGTAGTCATCCTCTGGCTGTTGTTCAATGTGGAGTAGTAATGTAGTCATCCTCTGGCTGTGGTTCAATGTGGAGTAGTAATGTAGTCATCCTCTGGCTGTGGTTCAATGTGGAGTAGTAATGTAGTCATCCTCTGGCTGTGGAGTAGTAATGTAGTCATCCTCTGGCTGTGGTTCAATGTGGAGTAGTAATGTAGTCATCCTCTGGCTGTGGTCAATGTGGAGTAGTAATGTAGTCATCCTCTGGTTGTGGTTCAATGTGGAGTAGTAATGTAGTCATCCTCTGGCTGTGGTTCAATGTGGAGTAGTAATGTAGTCATCCTCTGGTTGTGGTTCAATGTGGAGTAGTAATGTAGTCATCCTCTGGCTGTGGAGTAGTAATGTAGTCATCCTCTGGCTGTGGTTCAATGTGGAGTAGTAATGTAGTCATCCTCTGGCTGTGGTTCAATGTGGAGTAGTAATGTAGTCATCCTCTGGCTGTGGTTCAATGTGGAGTAGTAATGTAGTCATCCTCTGGCTGTTGTTCAATGTGGAGTAGTAATGTAGTCATCCTCTGGCTGTGGTTCAATGTGGAGTAGTAATGTAGTCATCCTCTGGCTGTTGTTCAATGTGGAGTAGTAATGTAGTCATCCTCTGGCTGTGGTTCAATGTGGAGTAGTAATGTAGTCATCCTCTGGCTGTGGTTCAATGTGGAGTAGTAATGTAGTCATCCTCTGGTTGTGGTTCAATGTGGAGTAGTAATGTAGTCATCCTCCAGTAGTAATGTAGTCATCCTCCAGTAGTAATGTAGTCATCCTCCAGTAGTAATGTAGTCGTCCTCCAGTAGTAATGTAGTCGTCCTCCAGTAGTAATGTAGTTGTCCTCCAGTAGTAATGTAGTCATCCTCCAGTAGTAATGTAGTCGTCCTCCAGTAGTAATGTAGTCATCCTCCAGTAGTAATGTAGTCGTCCTCCAGTAGTAATGTAGTCGTCCTCCAGTAGTAATGTAGTCATCCTCCAGTAGTAATGTAGTCATCCTCCAGTAGTAATGTAGTCATCCTCCAGTAGTAATGTAGTCATCCTCCAGTAGTAATGTAGTCGTCCTCCAGTAGTAATGTAGTCGTAGTAATGTAGTCATCCTCCAGTAGTAATGTAGTCATCCTCCAGTAGTAATGTAGTCATCCTCCAGTAGTAATGTAGTCGTCCTCCAGTAGTAATGTAGTCATCCTCCAGTAGTAATGTAGTCGTCCTCCAGTAATAATGTAGTCATCCTCCAGTAGTAATGTAGTCATCCTCCAGTAGTAATGTAGTCATCCTCCAGTAGTAATGTAGTCATCCTCCAGTAGTAATGTAGTCGTCCTCCAGTAGTAATGTAGTCGTCCTCCAGTAGTAATGTAGTCATCCTCCAGTAGTAATGTAGTCATCCTCCAGTAGTAATGTAGTCGTCCTCCAGTAGTAATGTAGTCGTCCTCCAGTAGTAATGTAGTCATCCTCCAGTAGTAATGTAGTCGTCCTCCAGTAGTAATGTAGTCGTCCTCCAGTAGTACTGAAGCAGGACTTTCATTCCATAGTAGCAGTTTGACAGGTGTAATTTTTAGCGATTTCTTGGGGATTAATGATTAACCATTGGAAGCAATTAAAACCACTGTTCTGAACTAATATTTATACCAAATATTTTAGGGTCTATACACAGACCATCTATATAGCTGTACATCCATTTACATTACATTTTAGTCATTTAGCAGACGCTCTTATCCAGAGCGACTTACATCCATAGTACAGGTGCCCATGAAGGTAGTCAATTGTTTGCAGCAGTTTTTTTGCTTCATTCTATAGCTAGAGGACTGATATCTCCAGGAGTGATCAATATATTTTTTGTCTTCATCTGTGGTCTAGTGTTGTCTAGCTAGTTAGGGCCGTCTACTTTAAATACTGCCTGTCTTCCCAGTGGCCTGATTGGTGTGTGAACTGCTGACTGCTCATAACTTGCAGATTATTGTTGACACATCAACCAGGATTAAGGGGCAATTTGTGACTGTTGTGATTTTGATAATCAGTATCAGTGGCGGTCTCGTCATCAAAACTAAGACCGTCACAGAAAAGATGACTGTTCTGCCGAGTTCCTGGAGGAAGGAGTGAGAGGAGGGCTTCACACCACTCTCTCACGGAGGATCGAGGGCTTCACACCACTCTCTCACTGAGGATCGAGGGCTCCACACCACTCTCTCACGGAGGATCGAGGGCTTCACACCACTCTCTCACGGAGGATCGAGGACTCCACACCACTCTCTCACGGAGGATCGAGGGCTTCACACCACTCTCTCACGGAGGATCGAGGGCTTCACACCACTCTCTCACTGAGGATCGAGGGCTTCACACCACTCTCTCACGGAGGATCGAGGGCTTCACACCACTCTCTCACGGAGGATCGAGGGCTCCACAGCACTCTCTCACGGAGGATCGAGGGCTTCACACCACTCTCTCACTGAGGATCGAGGGCTTCACACCACTCTCTCACTGAGGATCGAGGGCTTCACACCACTCTCTCACTGAGGATCGAGGGCTTCACACCACTCTCTCACTGAGTATCGAGGGCTCCACACCACTCTCTCACTGAGTATCGAGGGCTCCACACCACTCTCTCACGGAGGATCGAGGGCTTCACACCACTCTCTCACTGAGTATCGAGGGCTCCACACCACTCTCTCACTGAGGATCGAGGGCTCCACACCACTCTCTCACGGAGGATCGAGGGCTTCACACCACTCTCTCACGGAGGATCGAGGGCTCCACATCACTCTCTCACGGAGGATCGAGGGCTCCACACCACTCTCTCACGGAGGATCTTACCTAGTTATTTACACATCATCTGATTTTGCTCTTTTGTAGCTTTGGCAACACTGAGTATGTTTAAATGCACAGTAATAATTATATATTAAACTGATTATGGCAGTAGGCAGATTATGCAATAGTCAAAATGCTTATCTTAATCAGCGTAAGGTCAAAATCGAAGGAAGCATACACCTATTAAAACACCTGGTTTCCTGAGCAATCTGTTGAAATATTAGGACATGTGTAAAGACCTTTAATCGGCGTTCCAGCGATGTGTTTGATCTGTGCATGTGCTAGCACCAGCCCAGCGAGCCTCCCTCTTTAGCGCCAGTGAAGCGAGGTCGGAACAACTAAATGTATTCATCTTAGAAGTAGTTTTTACATACAAACATTATATCAGAATCAAATATGCTTCCCAAAAATAACATGGTCGCTGTGGTAGAACGTTTATTTTGATTGCCGATTTTCTGCTCTTATCAGGGTGCCATCAGTTAGCCTGAATTTCAGATGTGTCCATGTAAACAGGATTGTTAGGGAAATCATTCTTGAAAAGCATGTAAACGTTTTAATCAAGCTATTATATTAATCTGACTGTCCACAATCGTCGCATTATTGTGTGCATTGTGTGTCTGTGCTTTCCATCCCAGTTCGCTCCTCTCCCTGTAGGCTTTACAGACGCTCCCCACCCCTTGGCTGCTCCTCTCCCTGTAGGCTTTATAGATGCTCCCCACCCCTTGGCTGCTCCTCTCCCTGTAGGCTTTACAGATGCTCCCCACCCCTTGGCTGCTCCTCTCCCTGTAGGCTTTACAGACGCTCCCCACCCCTTGGCTGCAACCCTTCTAATTTAGTGTACCCTGCGTGCACAACCCATGTGGAATTCCTGGTCTCTGGCAGCGTTTAGAACTGCCAATCTGCGGTCAGGAAGGCAAAGTTCATCTCAGCTTATGCTGCCCTGATGGAGACATGGATCACTCCAGAGAACACTGCGACTCCAGCTGCTCTCTTCATCTGACTACGTTTTCACTCATAGTCCGAGAGCATCTGGTCATCGTGGTGGTGGCACAGGGCTGCTCATTTCTCCTAAGTGGAGATTTTCTATTTTCTCCCTCTCTCACCTGTCTCTCCTCATTTGGATTCCATGCTGTCACAAATCCAGCAGGTGCCCTTGGAGAGTTCCTCAATGAGCTTGACACCTTGATAAGCTCATTTCCTGACGATGACTCACCGCTCTTTGTACTTGGCGACTTCA